AGCTGAACGGATCTGGATGAAATTTAGCACTGAAATAGATTATACTCTGGAATAGCACACAGGTTACTTTTTATCCCAGAAAAATGTACGGTTCCCGTGGGATTTATTTTTGTCTAGGGACGAACCCAAAGCGAAGTGAGGGTAAGTCGCTAATTTTTTTATTTTACATTTATGAATAAGAGAAATATTATATATATTGCAAACATATATGCCTACAAAACAACACGTTATTTCCCTTGTAAGTAGTAGAATGCTAAACGCTAATTTCTCTACATCCCTTTTATGAATCTTATAATGTACGCTTTCTCTTTATGGACATTTTCCAGAGAATCCTCCAGGTTTTAACTCGATATTTTATTTTTAAAAGTCCTCTAAGTCCACCCGGAAGTCTTCAATTATCTGACCTGACCTTCTTTGAATACCTAGATTAGACCGTAGGTCTTCTAAATCTCTTTAAACTTCTCCTCTTAAATTCTTCTTCTCTTGCTCTACCTGCCACTCATTCCACTATACACCGTGTAGTAAATAAATAATGCTTGCTCATATTTAAAATAGACCCCTTAATAGAGGTAAATAAACAATGTATTACTTTAGTTATTTTTATAGAGCTCAATTAAATTTAATTATACCTAAGTAAATATAAAACGAACTCAATATTTGAGTATTCGATTAAAAAGATTAATTAAGACTATTAATTAGGTAATATAAACGACACATAAAAATAAACGAGGAGATGAAAACTGATTTTTTAAAATGGACTCTATCTGTAACGTACAAGTTACTTAGCAAGCGATATTTAGGTTTAAACAATCATAAGGTAAGTTTTCAATTCCTTAAGTTACGTGATGTTTTTTATTTGTATTAATAACCGATTTTGATAAATACAGTAAAGGTTGATTTTGTTTCTGTAATAAATTTATGGGAAATTTCGATACGTCTTTGTTTTACAGCTTGAAATTAAAATTAGATATTTCGTTGGCTCAGTGGTCACGAATTTAGGTTATACGATTGTGGTTTAGGGTTCGAACTCTGTACACAATAAATACCTGGATGTTTTTACCCACAAGAAATACATAATAATGTAGATTCTAATACTATATTATTTATTTTTATTGATTGATTTTTATTTTCTACCCTATATTTTGGTGAAGCCTATACGTTTGACTCTTAAACTACATTATTCTTTTTTCTAAATCTATAGTACGTGCCTACTTGATGGACTTAAATAATAAAAAAAACGATTCAAAAATGCTTGGAGTTTAATTATAACTCGTTCTTTTATAGCAATCCTGATAAAGTTAATTTTATATTAAAATTTCTATACTCCTTAATAATTTAAATTAAAGACAAAACATATTAATATTACAGAAAAAATATCATGTATCTATATAAAACAATAATCAGAAAGTGGTAGTTTGTCCGTCCGTCAATAGAGTCAATTTCACGGTATGAACGGTGTTTAGTTCTCACGTATACATTTCCAAGTAAAACTGTCCACGGACATACGACACCGGGAAATTGTTTATACGTACTGACACTTATTATGTGGCATGAAAAAATTGGATTATCTACTAATATAAATGTAAAAGTTTGGATGTGTATGTATGTCTCATACTTTTTCACGCTAAAGGTTTGGATGGATTTGGATGAAATTAAATTATATAAATAGACACAGACAGCCTTTAGACCTGAAGGTCTATAGATCTTTGGACATATGTAGCTATTGGTTACTGTCAGGCACCTAGATGCTTAGAGGTAGCCGCTAGTTCAAAATGTATTGATGTATTTAGTGATTTTATGAAAATAATTGATTAATTCTTTAAATATTATGTTTTCGATATATTTTTTGTTCGATTTTTTTAATTATATTTGCTGTGAGAATAGTAAGATGAAAGGAAATAGTAATTCGTTACTTAATCAAGAACACTAAATAATAATATGTGGGCATCGAAACAGTTATTCCGTCTTTATAGGCGGAATAGATTTAATATTAATCGATTTCTAATCAAGCGCTTGATTTCGGCAGAAATCATCGATTTTAAAATCGTCGGAATAGAATTATTCGGATTTTTCAATAGTGGAAGGTAGCGAATGTTTTTTAATTTTTTAATTTCTTAAGTTTGGTACCTAGACACAATACCTACCAAGAATGATCAAAACAAAATTGAAAATTCTGTCTTATTTTATAGGCTGATCATTTTAGCCTAAAAATGCTGGATGAGGTAACTATGGAACATTGTGATTTTTAATGAACCTTGTATAGACTACTTTTATTTATAAAATAAAAATACATACATGTAGATACTTTACATCAATATAATAACATCTATTATAATATATTCAAACTTTTTCAGTATTTTCGAGACGTTGTACCAATAATAATAATAAACTAAAAATATTCGTTAAAAAATGTCACATTTCAAAAAATATGAACCGCAAAAAAACTAACACCTGGCCGAAAGGCGTTACACCAAAGGTTTAAAAAAATAAAAAAGAAAATCGACACCATGCTTCCTAAGCTCCGCCCATTTGTTGTCTCTCTCGCACCCCCGCCCCTCAGGTAGTTCTAAATAATTTGTCATTTGACCCCATGCCTTCATTGAGTAAGGATGTGCTTGTGTAGTGAAAGATTTTAATATTTTAGTGTTTTTGTGAATTTCATGTGCGATTTTTTCTGCAAATAGGTAATTACTTTGTTCTCACTTTCATTATGAACACTTTTAATTATTTAACATGGATTATTTATAATTTTATTTTAAATGCAAAGAATATCACAATTATAATTAATTGATATACCTAGCCGGATTTTTTCGCGGACTTATTTTTATTTTCGTTCCCGACATTTCGTATGCTGTACAGCAGTCATCATCACGGTCGAGACCAAATGTCTGACCAATAAATTTGAAATTTTATTTAAAATGTCAAATATTCGCGTAAATCTAAGAAAGTATTAGCTTAGATTTATAATACCGGTATCGATATATGCGAAAATCCAGTAACAAAATTGAATGGCGGGTTAAGCTCTATAATATCACTTATTTTTAATAAAAAAAGAGCTTATTGGTGGGCGCTTATTTATTTTAATTTTACAAATCTAACTGATACTGCTTAAACGCTTACATAATTTTAAGTTATGGTACTTCATTATAAAAGAAATAAAAATATTTAGATGATATTGAAGCTAGTATCGTGTCTCGAGTACTTGTGCTATGTGAAAATTATTAATTTCTTATATGGATTTTTTTAAATATTGCATTGAAGTTACATTTAGAAAACAAATTCTAGAAATGCTTCTAAAAATGTTAGTAGTTTTAAAAATCTTACTAATATTATAAATTCGCACGCGTTTCATCCATCCTAGCCACAAACTCGCTGTCGATTTACTAAAATATTCGAATTACTAAAAAGCTCGAGGCCCTCTTAACGTTTTTTGCACGCATGGGGACAATTTGAGAAATAATATTTTACTTATAATTATATTTTACTAAGTTGAACATATGTAGGTCAACTTAAAAATCCTTTATACTAGACAGTATCTAAGTGCTTTCAAAATTTAGCAATAATTCTGGAAATCCGATAGTTGAGGTTTTGATATTAATATAAAGAAATACTACTCATAATCGTTAAACTACCGATTCACTCTTCTTACACATATATAACTTTAAATACATACATATTGTAAATATAAACACCTATGACTGGAGTACAAGCATTCGTGCTCATCACACAAATGAATGCCCCCAGTGGCACTCAAACCCGCGACCGCTGGCACAGCAAGCACTACAAACTGAGTCAAACGTGTCGTCGCAAATGTAAATTCGTTAGAAATTGGAAACATATACTAATAATTTGCATAAGTGTTTTTTTTAATTACTAGCTAAGCCGATTCAATCAATTCGTGTTTGAGCTTTTAGTTTATACAAAAACCCTATAAAAAGATTCTTCAATGATACCAGTATTTCCCAATTTTCTGAGAGACATTTTCAATTTTTTTTTCTAAGCATCTTATTTAGGCTATTACATAATATTTTATTAGATTTACGCGAATATATGACATTTTTAATTATACCTACTATCTTTTTCACGGAAGAGACTCCCGCGACCATGATTGTAGTAAAGCATTCGAAAGGTCGGGATCCAAAAATCAAAATACTTACCCACGAACAGCATTTGATTTTTATTTATATGAATACTAGCAGAACCCGCGGCTTCGCTCATGCTAAAACTACAAAAAAACTCGAAAATGGTAGGTTTCATACAAACTTTCGTCCGCTTTTTTACCCCCTTATGGGATGAATTTCGAAAAATGCTAAAACAGGTATTTAATTAATTGTATTAAAGAGAATTTATAACAAGTTTTAAGTAATTCTGATCATAAATATTTTTTTATATATTCTATTTTTTTATATATTAAATATATTCTAAAATCAATCACATCCCTAGGTCCTCTATATATATTTTTAATTTCCAATATTTCTGTCACCGACATCAAAATATAAGATTAAAGCATCTTTTGTAAATTAAAAGCCCCGATCATTTATTGTTATTGTTTTTAAGTGCCTTGCAGTCGGCTTAATTTTTTTTTTAGTTTTATAACTTTTTTGTTTTAACTTTTAACATTTTTAAAGTCGCTTTGGATAAAGTTAATATGAGCTTGAGGAAATGCACAATAATTTAATAATATCTTATATGTATGACACACTCATACCTAGTATTTCTTTATAAAATCCATATGTTTTTAAAGAATGTCCGGTTCAGTAAATGTCATAGAGTGTTATGAAAACAAATAATATTGTTACGTTCTTCATTCGTAATTTTTAAATAAGTATAATATTTCCGTTTTGTATTGATTACCAAATTTTAAAAGATTATTTAAAAAAAATGCTTTATTAGACAATTATAACATAATATGACTTTACTAGAAAACTATATCATATTAATTAAATCTCACTTTTTCTTTGTTTAGTTTTCTAATATAAACTGGGATGAAATCCACCAATATGGAATCGTGTTCTGATCGTCTAAGTCCATCCAGTGACCTGACCAGTGAGTCGGAGACATCGCTGCCATCTTTTCCGTACGAGCAAAATAATTTCTACACACAATCAGACATTAATGAAAAACAATACTTTTCATGCAAACAAAAATCACCCCGAATGGACGAAAGAAAGGACTATTTACAGGAAAGCAACAAAAACTCTTTCGAGAACTATCTGTCACCCCGAAGCAAAAAATATTTAAACTTCGAACTAAAATTGCCGCCTATCAACGATAATTTTTTTTCGCAAATCGACAATGACGAACGTCGTACAGCCTATTTCAATGATACGATGAAAAATGTTCAAAATGAAAATAATCCTATGGTTGAAATAGATATTAATAATTTTGAAAACGTTGTAAACGAAAGGGAACGGCAATATTTTGCGGATAGCGACAACAATATGCGTAGATGTTTAAATTTTAATGCAGAGCAAGTGCAGTGTGTGTGTGAGGCTTTACAGCAAAAAGGTGATATTGAAAAGCTTGCAGCGTTTTTATGGAGCTTGCCCACTACTGAGCTGTTACGAGGGAATGAAACTGTCCTAAGGTATTGTACTACAATACTTATTCTGAAGTTACTGGGGTATTGTGAAACAGGGGGTTTTTTGATATCATTTAAATCGATATATACAATGACTTACGCGTTTTAGGATATAAATTTCGTATCCTATTTTCTTTATCAGTTCACTCGTTCACTTTGGATCCACATTCATACCGTTAATCATTGTGAAAAAATATATTATAAAATTGAAGCCAATATAAACATAGTAATATACAAGTAAGTTTTAATATTTCGTCATTTTAAAAGATTCTATGTTACCAGGGCTCGAGCATTAGTAGCATATCATCATGGGGTTTTTCAAGAGTTATACGCAATTTTGGAAAAGCATTCCTTCCCGCCGCGACACCACACAACGCTGCAGACGCTGTGGTTCAAGGCACATTATAAAGAAGCTGAGAAAGTTAGAGGACGCGCTTTAGGTAAATAGATTTTTACAGAAATAATATTGTATAAAAATAATATTTTTAATTCTATTTTCCTTTATCTACGTTTGTTTCGAAAATTTACTAATTCTTACCAAAAGGATAATTGATAAAGAAAATATTTTTATATGTTTTTATTGTTGTAGGTGCGGTAGATAAATATAGGCTTAGAAAAAAGTATCCTTTGCCTAAAACAATTTGGGATGGTGAAGAAACAGTTTATTGTTTTAAAGAGAAAAGCAGGAATGCTTTAAAAGACTGTTATTATAGGAATAGGTAAGAATAAATATTTATAATCTATACATACAATAAAATTTTAAATCAGTCGAGTCTGTGTATAGTTTTTAGATTTTTTGTCAGTCTGTCTGTCTGGGAACGCATTACGAGGAAACAGATTTTAATAAAACATGGTATGATGATAGTTGGTTATTCAAATCAACGTATAGGGTAGGTACTTTTTACTTTGGGAAAATATCTCATCTCTGAGAACTCTATACTAAACGTTAAAACGTTAACTACATGTTCACTCATTATTTAATTTTTCGTTTTTTAAATTACATAGACGACTCTACTTGTTTGTATGTGGATAAAACGTAACCAAATAATAACCCAAGATGTATTCTTATTATTAAAAGTAAGAATATTTTTAAATCCGAGAATCTGTTCACTAGTTTCAGAGATCATTATCTAGATGCGAGCTAACTTTATCTATTTAGGAGTAATGTAGAGTAAGACTAAATTTATGTGATGAAAATCACATCACTATCGCCTCTAAAATTACCTTGTAATTTTTTTTGGCTTTACGGTAATATTTTTTTCTAGGAAAATATTATTTCTAAATATTTTAGGTATCCAACCCCGGATGAAAAACGGGCACTAGCCCAGAAAACCGGTCTAACACTAACTCAAGTATCCAATTGGTTTAAGAACAGACGGCAGAGGGATAGGACTCCACAGCAACAGAATAGATCGTGAGTGTTTTGCCGTATTTTTGCAGTTATACTTCTTTTGTCACGCTTGGAAAATAATATGAGAGATTAAAATTTTGACGGTGCGCGCGTACACCGACAGCCACAAAGCGACATGATGAAGTTAGCTGCATTCCTTTTACAGACAGAGAGTTGTGATATACGGAATGAAATCTTTAGCTATATTTGTTCTGTTACGCCAAAGAAGTATAACTTTTTATGTGCGTACATAAATACACAGACACGTTTTTTTTATTTTTATTAGTGACCATAGCTACACTACGCTGCGACTTTTGAATCTATTTTCTATTAAACTTGTTCGTTTCCTTAACAAATTTTCCTTCACAATATTAGCAATTCTTTGGGCAGGGAACCCTAATTAGTAATTAATAATAGATTTATACATACAGAAAACGCTAATGAACCCTGATAAAAAAACATAATAATATATATAATATAAATATCGATAAGTAGTTAAAAATCGGCTTTGTTACTTTACATTTGTTTAAAAAAAGTTTCGAGTGCTTTAGATTAGCAGTCAAAATTTAATGCCGATAAACCAAACAAAGATTTCTGTGTCCCTTTGTGTAACGGCTTGATTCAAGGACAAACAAATTCAACAATGTTTACAGTTTATATTATAAATATAAATATGTTGGTACATTACCACACAGCAACATCGAGTTCAATGTTAAGCTACGGGTCTTGTGTTGTGGATACCAGATAGTCGATATAATACAAATATAAAACATAAAATACATACATCTTATAAATATAAACACCCATGACTGGAGTACAAACATTCGTCATCACACAAATAAGTGCCCCCAGCGGGACTAAAACCCGCGACCGCTGGCACAGCAACAAACAACAAACTAAGCCAAAATGTCGTCAAAAAATTATTTATTTACTAGTAGTTAGTACATTAGCTCTCGCGAGCACAAGCTTTTTTGCAACAATTAATATACCACGCAGTTTAAGAGCGGATTCCACTAGTAGAAATCTAAAGTGAGCATTTACAGTATTTTAAGGAGCTATTCTTCTAATCACACCGAAGATTTCATCAGATCTTTACCAATTTTTTTGAAGTTTTTAAAGTTACTACCTTTCAAATAGAAAAAGAACCATCGAAATCTAATCTCAAAGATATCCAATAAACCCTTTTTTGCCACTTTTTTTGGAGCCCACCCCTCTAATCAAAAATCCCCGACACAAAAAAATATATAGTCGTAAAACTTGTATACCAAGTTTCGTCCAGATCGGTTGTAAAATACTACCTATACAGGAGTACCAACTTTGCAGAGGAAAACAATTTTTTGCCAGACTTGAAGCAGAGACGCTTAGCTCGCTTGGCCAATACTGTTATTATCTTATTAATTTTGATAATTAGGCACACCTGATTATATACTGTTAGGCCAATATCAAATAAACAATACCAACATCAATATTTAGATTGTATATTACCAAAATTATTATGTACTAGCGACTCACCCTCGCTTCGCCCCTACTACGTTTTAACTGTTAGCATGGAATAGATAGTAGATAAAAAGTATTATGTATTATTCCAGACTATAATCTATCTCTGTGCCATATTTCATGCAGATCCGTTCAGCCGTTCTGGCGTGAAAGAGTAACAAACATCCATAAACTTTCACATTTATAATATTAAGTATAGATATAGATACGGATTAATATATAAATAAAATTAAACGAACTTTTTGTTACAATATCGCCACTGGTGAAAAAACCCTCTTGACCTCCTCATATTTTTAACAAAAAAAGAACGAATGGAGCCATTTCGAAAACAATGGCCGTTGTTGGTAACAAATCAAAAAACTTTTCGCAACTAAGCGTTCATTTCTATTGGTGGAATTGAAGGCAAGAATACTATAATAAAATCGTTTAAATGCGATTCGGTCTCGTGCACGATGATTTTGCGTCACCACACTATATAGATACGTTTTCTACGTCAAAAGCGATGAAAAAATATCAAAGGAAATACTTTTTGTTTGTTAGTTATACATGTATTTTTATTAGAAAATATTGTAGTGTACTGGAGAGTGACATAGACTACTTTTTACCGCGGGAGATTATCTCATTCCCACGGGAAAACACGTTATAATACAATCCAAAAAAATATTTATGATCAGAATTACTTGAAACTTGGCATTAATGCTCTTCAATAAAATTAAATAAATACTTTTTAGCATTTTTCGAAATTTATTCTTTATGGGGTTAAAGTAGGAGATGAAAGTTTCCCCCCCAACGTGCGTTCACCTTGTCGTGGTGGGGGGGCTCAGTAGTGCCCGGAAATACAGCCGGGCGCGAAGCCAAGAAACGCACAGGGAGGTGGCCCACTTCGGTGGGTGGTGGGAGGTGGCCCTCTTCGGAGGGCGGTGTACCATGCGGGTTGCTCCTGGTACTTCTCTGATAGCAGAGTGGACTTTGGAGCAACCCAATGGTCGTTGTGGTCTGCCTCGGCCGACCTACCGTCGGGGCGTCGTAGTTGAATGCGTAAGCGATCCTGCGACGCCCCATTAAGACGGGAGAAGGTTTTGTTGGGTTTTAGTGGGTAGTACTGGCTTTGCCGGTGAGTCCCACACCTCGTGCGTAAATGCATTTCCCAACGTTAAAAAAAAAGAAAAAAAAAGGAGATGAAAGTTTGTATGAAATTACCTTTTTAGATAGTTTTAGAGCGAGCGAAGCCGCGGGTTCTGCTAGTAGTATATGACAAATAAGTTTGCATTATCAATTTTTTAAAAGCATACACATTTCTATTTAGGATAACGTGTGAGTAATTTAAAAATAAAACAATAGTCTTAGCACATGTGGTATGGCTTTGTCCCATGATTAATGACCTCATAATGAGGGTCACTTGGACACTGTGAAATGGGATATTTTTTGTAAACTATAAATGGCAAATTCCCTCACGTGTTGACTTTTGTTAAGCAAAAATACTACATATTTTAAAAATTACTAATTATTTGCTTCCTTAAACGTTTTGATTTGCGTGCATATATGTTAATAAATATATGTAGGTGGTTTTTTAATTTAATAAAAATATAAGAAGTAGGTATCTATGTAGTATTTATTTGCTGAAATATGTAAATCTTGAAAGATAGGTTTGGTTTTTATGTCATTCCTATTAATATGTGGAAATCTATATCCTAATTAAAATAAAAAAAAGCTAATGATTTATATAGATTTGATAAATAAGAGCTATATTTAGCTTCAAACTATTTTTTAAATTATTTGTCCAGTATGATATAATTATTTTATATACATAGTAATTTTACATTTTGGAGTAATAAATCACTAATATAACGAATACGGATACTGTATTTTGTACAGCCTAATAATAGATAGAAGGTACTTTTTTTTAATTTGCTTATTAAGTTATCTTTTTTTTTCAGAGAGATGTTGGTATCTGCGCAGTATGTCGGTTCTCAAGGCGGCTTAACACAGTCCTTCATCCCCAATGCATATTATAAATTACAAGACGCCACGCATTATTTGCATGGAAATACACCTTAAATTGAAGTGCTGCCATACACTATAGTATTGCTACCAATTTGATACAAATATTTTATTTCGATATAAATTGTATAATTTGAAATACATACTTATATTTTTACCTCATGTAAACCACCTATACATTATATATACCTTAATTGTACAGAAATTAGAGTTATGTTACAGATGCAACTACTACTATTATATATGAATTAAATTTTTTATGACTTATTTTTAATATAATTTTGATAATTACCGTTCAGAATTATTAGTTATTTAGAGTAATTTTATAATGATAAGTCATTTTAAAATAAGCATTATGTAATTTTTTGCTTCGTAGCAGCGGCATTTTAGTGAAATGTTTAAAAACTAAGCGTCTTTAAATGGAACTAGGTACCTATCGTATACTTATATAAAAATATTCATTTGCTACAGTTTTATAGTGTTAATAATTGATTTTTAGTTTTTAACTATACTAGCGACTCACCCTCGCTTCGCTCGGGTTCGTCCCTAGGTACGTTTTAACGTCTTTAATTAAAATACAAATATTTGAATTTCTCGGCTTTTTTGTACTATAATATGCATGTATTATACATATAAACCTTCCTCTTGAATCACTCTATCAATTGTTGAAAACTGCATTAAAATCCGTTGGGTAGTTTAAAAGATCTAAGCGAACAGACAACAGAAGAGAATTTATTTTATACTATGTAAAGATTGTGTTAATTATCATGTTCACTAAATAATATCATAATATCAGTGTAAGTATGGTGCTGTTAAGTTTAATTGATTATATTCTAGTCTACAAAATGCATTAAATATTATATCAAAAGCTAAACGTTTTTTATTTAAATTTTGACCTTTTATAATTTAAGGAATAATTAACCTTACCTTTTTGAATTGGTAAAAAGGAACAGGTATAATATTTGTATACATATTATGTATTGCTAAAAATTTATCATATCGAAATTACTCATTCATAATTATTATGTAGACTGTTAAACAGTTTAGGGTAAAATTTGACATAACAGATAAATACTGTTTTCAATACATATATTATTGACTAGCATTGCCCGCGGCTTCGCCCGCGTTCAGGTGACCAAAAACCAAATTCTTGGGCTTTACATATTAGTAGAATTCTATACTCTTACAATGCAGTTTTTCTATTTTTTCTCTGAAATTAAATGTTTTTCCGCGGTAAAAAGTATCCTATTTGTTGATCCGGATAACCAGCTATCACCATACCAAATTTCATCAAAATCCCTCCAGTGCTTTTTCTGTGATGCGGTAACAGACAGACAAATATTCATAAAACTATAGATCCGGCCTCTGTATCGATAATAATGTTTGTTTCAATAAAATTTTCAAAAAAAAATTTGATGTACAGATTCGGCTTAGTAACAATTTTATTATATGTACAGATTAATACAGAATACATTTTTAACCTGGAAAGGCGTTCTCGTGGATTAATATTACGATTTTATTTTATTATAATGACACTTCTGAAATTATCGATAGCTTGAGCGTCTCAAGAACGTTAAAAAATATTTTGTAAGTGAGGAATGCTGCGGTCAGAATCTGGTTAAGAATCGGTACGTAAATAAAAAGTTTTATCCATTATTTCTGTTTTAGGTTACTTTTGCACTAGTTATTACTGTAGTTCAGTTTTAATTCGATTAATATTTAACTAGTGACACAACGTTACTATATAAATTTTAAATATATATTAATGTATCCCGAGAACACATTTTATATAAAAAATACTATTTTTTAATGATCTGTTCACACACACTTTTTGACGAAGTATTTTTTGGTAGATTAAAAATTGAGAGTGGCAACTTTGCAATATAAACGTCAATTAATTTCTGCAGTCTGCACTCATTTTAAACGTCAAATGTTCATAATGTCAATATTTTCATGTAAAATGTTCTTTGTCTCGATTTATCACAATTATATAATTTAATTATATATAAATAGAACAAAAGACTACATATTAGGCTATTTAAGTACAAACACTTTAACTGTAAAATATTAATGTACTTGACGCAACAGTGAAAGTCATTACGTATTTATAAAAAAAAAACATGAGTGATTCAAAATCTTTTGTTAATTTCTCTTGCCAACGATGTCTACAGCCTTTGAAACTAGATGAATCATTAAACAATCTCGGTGAACACACCATTGCTGACCTAACACTGCAGATACGTAGAAATAATGAAGCAGATTTGGATTTACAGTCGTCAAGCTTGGAACATTATGTTCCACCTTTCCGTATGTCAGAATCAGGTAATGGGGCCAATGGTTTTATGGTTATCTCGGACGGTTGGGAAACCACATCGATAGGCCATCAATTGCATGTTAAAGCGACACTTTTTGATCTATTATCAAATAATTCTGATGTCGATCATCCTTTATGTGACGAATGTACTGACACGCTCTTAGAATTAATGGACAATCAACTTAGACTTACTGAAGCTGAATGGAAAGATTATAGTGACTACTTGAAAAAATTGGAGGACGATAAAGAAGATTTGAACTTGGAAGGTTTAGAAAAGGAGTTGGAAGATTGGAAACAAGAACAAAGTAGGCTATTACAAGAATTATCAGCTTTACAGAAAGAGGAAAAGGCAATGAAAGATGAGATAGAGGTACAAGAAAAAGAAAAAGAAAGATTGGAGGTTGAACAAGATATATATTGGAGGGAATATACGAGATACCGTAAAGATTTGATGACAACAGAAGATCAGATGAAATTTTATGAATGTCAACTTTCATATACACAAGCTCAATTAGAAAAGCTGAAGAAAACTAATATATTTAAAGCAACTTTTCATATATCTGATTCTGGACAATTTGGTATAATAAATAACTTTAGGCTCGGTAGATTACCAACTGCACCAGTTGATTGGTCAGAGATTAATGCAGCTTGGGGTCAAACCGTTTTATTACTATCGTCTCTCGCTCGGAAAATTAGCTTTTGTTTTCAAAGATACAGATTAGTACCATATGGTAACCATTCTTATATAGAAGTGTTAGAAGATCAGAAAGTGCTTCCATTATATGGGTCAGGTGGATTCCGCTTTCTTTGGGATACGAAATTTGATGCAGCTATGGTGGCATTTCTAGACTGTTTACAGCAGTTTAAGGAGCAAGTTGAGAAGGGTAACACGGGGTTTTGTTTGCCATACCGGATTGATAAGGGAAAAATAGAAGACACAGCATCTCCACCTCACGCTTATTCTATTAAAATTCAGTTTAATTCAGAGGAACATTGGACGAAAGCTCTTAAATATATGTTGACGAACCTAAAATGGGCTCTCACATGGATTTCTTCACAGTTTAGCGAAGACAAAGTTGAGACATGCACTTAATTTTTTCTGTGATATTTTATTATAATTAATGTAGTACATTTAAATTTTAACTGTATATAAATATAGCTATAAACATTATAAATTTTGTATAAAAGTGTGCTTCGATAATTATGTAAAAAGTTAAACCTGCCAGTGAGATGTTAATAATTATAGGATTGTAATTAATAATATTCTTTTCTTTTCCACTGCTTCAAAGATATTAAATAGTAGCGACTTACCCTCACTTCACTTAAGTGCATTGGTACATTTTATATTCTTAGAGGAACTCTTAATTCTTTTTCTAAAATAAAAGTAACAAACCAAGTTACAATTTATAACATCAGCTATCTGCCAGTGAATGTCCCGTTAAAACCGAGATTAGCTAGAACAGAAAGACAAAAAATTAAAAAAAAAGTGTTTTTCTTTAAGTAGGTACCATAAAAGATTTCTCATACATTTAATAAAAAGCTAATAATTCGATATTACAAACAGACACTTCAATTTTATTTATCTGTATACATTAAAGTCATTAATATTTATATTATATATTAATGATATTAGTATAAAGATATTATATTTTGATAAAATTATTCTATTACAATTTTGATATGCCATGATAGAATTAAATTATTACAGGAAGTTACTATGTTTCACCTATAATTAATTTTCATTGAATATAATATTATTATTAATAACGATTTGCCATCGTTTCGCTCGGTTCTGTCCCTAGGTACGTTTTGTTTGTTTTATAGTTTATATCGTGTTTTCTTGTGGGAAATGGGAATGAGATAATCTTCCGCGGTTTAAACTTAAAAGTAGCCTATGTCGCGACGCCAATCCGTCACTGTTTCGACGTGAAAAAAAAACAAACACAATATTACTATGACTTCTAAGGAAGTAATAAATTCTTTAGTATTTGAAATGCATGATTATAAATTATAAACATGAACGAATTAACCACAATTCGTCCATGATTATTTATTTATGGAAATAAATTTATTTCTATCATAAAATAGGATAAAGCGCCATCTGTGATCTGGGTGTGTAAATTGGACTAAGAGATAGGATGTTGTAATTGTCGACTTTGTTTCTGGTTTAGGCACCAGATGTCACTGTAAAAAAAAAACTAGAAATTATCAAATTAATTATAACACTGATCTAATCTTTAATTTTAGTTATATAAGTACTATCACAATATGTATATTTATTTATTATTACACCAAACAGACATACATTAACAAAATAATATATCTGTTTTATTAGAACCCAGCGACCTATCCTCGCTCCGCCCGGGTTCGTCCCTGCTTACGTTTTAACGTTTAGTATAGATTTCTCAGAGGTGAGATATTCTCCCGTAGTAATAAGTATACTATATGTTAATCCGGCTAACCAGATAACATCATACCAAGTTTCATCAAAATCCCTCCAGTGGTTTTTCCGTGATGCGGTTACAGACAGACAGACAGATAGTCAGACAAAAATTCTAAAAACTTTAGACTCGGCCTCCGTATCGATAACAAAGTCTATTTCAATAAGATTTTCCAAAAAATATTTAATGTACAGATTCGGCTTAGTTACAATTTTATTATATGTATAGATTATTTGCCATTTTGATGGTATAATAATATGGTAACGGTTTCCAATTTGTTTTGGCCACGGAACCCTAATTGAGCATAGTTTTTTTAACAGATCCCCATTTGAATAATAACATAATATATGTTGTGATATGTTGTAGTTCAAATACTTTTTTGTTTGACTTGAACGAACAAATCATAAATGAAAAATATTAATGTGTACTTATATAATAAATAATAATAATATTCTACCAAAAATATAACCTGGCTAACTTTTCAATGTGATGAAAGTTTTTTTCCACATATTTATTAATAATAGCACTAAAATTAGTAGTCCGGTCAAAATAGACATTCACCCTTGCATAAATTCCTAAGAAGCTAAAAATTTATATGAACGTTAGGGATACCATTATAATGAAATTGTGAAAAGTCCCCATCGATCCCATGCGTGCTAATATTAATTTATATAAGAAATATTATTTATTAATTATTTTTTGTTATTATAACACACTCGGGGAAGAGCACTTCCTGATCTAAGTTCAAAGTTTCGTTTAACTTAAGATGATATATTACGTTCTAGAAACATTAAGCTAAGTTAAACTTTAGCACACGTTTATCGCTTAAGTTTCAAGCTAAAAGATAATTTTGTTGCTGCAAAAAGCTGTATCTATACTAATCTATAGTAATATTATAAAGAGGTACAGTTTGTAAGATTGTGAGTTTGTGACGTTGTAGAAGGTAATCTCTGGATCTACTGAACCAATTTAGATGGGTAAGAAGATAGTTTGAGACCCTGGGAAGGACATAGGACACTTTTTATCCCGGAAATCATCCCTTAAGGGGGTGAAAATGGGAATGTAAGTTTGTATTGGGAAGCAAGCTAGGGACGAACCCGAGCGAAGCGAGGGTGAGTGGCTAGTATGATATAAAGACCTTTACAAAGTGTCTTCGGAATTGGATTAGAACCTAACTATATATTTAGAATTCGGTATCGTTTTGGATGAAAAACCTCATACAATCTTCTCACTAAATTCTTAAAAAAATATACAATCTTTTCAATTTCAAGAAACTACGGTGTAATCAATTATAGTGTAATCATAAACCAAGCGTCGACAAGCCATCACAAATTCAAACATACGGAAAGGGTAAAAGGTTTGGCTTATGTAAGTTTGCAAGCACTTAAAGCCGTTTCGATTATGTCCTTTTTTCTGCACAAATCAAAGGCTATTTGTGACAAGTGGAACGAATGGCAAGCGTGTGGACCTGGCATAACACCTTGAACTTGCCATCTTTCTTGACAGAATTCACCAGTGGCAATTTTTCGCCTAGTTCTTTATAATATTAGTATAGATTAAATTACTAACTTATAGTATAATTTGAAAAGTTATATAACTTATAGCAATTTCTTTCAGTCATTTGTCAGGTGTAGTCTACAACACTGGCCATGTAGAGGCTGGCTGACTTCACATATCTTTTGAAAACTAGATAGATTTTTGCAGACATGCAGGTTTAATAATGATGTTTTACAGAAATCATGTTGAAAAATGATTCGCACAATAACATATATCAAAGTTGCGAGATCCGGAGTTTGAACCTGCTTCTTTTGGTTTTCCAAGCGAGCCCGTTACCAACGGTCTACCACTAACATCGCCTATTATTATCCTCTACACATCTTACACATTTTGTTTATATGTTGAGGCATTAACGCATAACACCATGGCACCATGACACCAAGCTACTAGGCTTATGTTATGGATACAAGATAGTTGACACACTGCACATATATAACTATAAATACATTTTATAAATATAAAACAACTATGAAAAAAGTACAAACATTCGTGCTCATCACACAAATGAGCCAGCAGGACTCGAACCCGCGACCGCTGGAACAGCAAGTAGTCACTACAAACTGAGCCAAACGTGTCGTCAATACATAAAACATATCTATAGCAAAGAAAATATGAAAGTCTAGAAAACCAATTTTCTATTCCTTTTTCTATTTCCTATCTATCTAAGTGCATACACACAAAGCTTTCATTCTGGAGTTCAGGAGTGGCAATGGAAAATTGTATTATATTATAACTATCGGCTCACTCTCGCTTTGCTCAGGCTTGTTCCTACATTTACTATATTACACCCCCTAGGGTAATAGTATGATCTTATTTAGCCTATAGTTTTCATCAAGCAGCGGGAATCTAATGTAAAAATATTTGTTAAATCGGATTAGTAGTTCTTGAGATTGGCTCGTTCAAACAAACAAAGTTTATAATATAGTATAGATACATAAACGTAAATTTACGAAACTTAGTCTAACACTTAAGTGAATATTTAGATTTTGTCAAAAGATGACACGTATTTAGGCAAAACAAATAACTTGATGAAGTCAGAACAATTACACAAACCTTTTTTAGTTAAAAAGTAATTTATACGTAGAAAATATTATGAATATTTGCTAAGCTATTGCTAAATTTCTAATGATTGTATTTTAGAACCACAATAGTTTGTAATCGGTCGATTCAACATTAGCATAATATGTTTCCAATGCCCGACGATGCTATAGTTTCAGCATTTGGACTATAATTTACAGCTTTATCTCTTGAACGTTAACAACAGACAACAGTCATCCTTATTGTAACCATTCGTAATTTTAGATTATTTGCTTGCTAAAGCAAAGTAACTGTCTATTCAGGGTCGGATTTAACCTTAGCGCCGCCACTTGGCACTGTATAAAATGCCGCCCTATTATCGAAATTTTGAATAAAATGTTGAAAGTAAAAAAAAATATTTATAAATGATATCAATTTTTAGAAAAATGTACCTACAAGTTAATCTTCTAATTTTCGATAACGCGAAGAATATTTTTTTCCCACCCTCCGAATTTTGCCGCCCTGGGCACTAGTCCCGAGTGCCCCTAGTGTAAAATCCAAGGCTGTGTCTATTCGACTTTGCTTTGAACTAGTAGCCTACTTATATTACAGGCGCTACCAAAAGGGAATGAATGAAAATTGAAAAGAATGTCGTCTTCGACTTAATTCACAAATATCATCATATCGGTTAAGTTCACAAAATGTTTATTAATAATAGCATTTCTAGATAATTCCTTTTTTTTATTGGTGTAAACAATATGAAAATCCAGTTTCCGAAAACTATAGTTTCGAAGCTTAGAATTGATTGTGTTAAGTTTGTTGTTTATGCCTGGTTAGTACTTATTAGTTAATCGCCCCAGTGGTTTAGTTGCTAGCATGTACGGCTGTAGATCCGGAGGTACTGGGTTCGAGTTCCGGGTCGGGCCAAGTTTAATTACTGAGTTTTCTATCAAGACATTTTCGTAGTAGCCCGGAGTTGGGAAGTTGGCGGAGTTACAACCCCGTGCCTCGGAGAGCACGTAAAGCCGTCTGCCGTCGGTCCTGCGCTTTAACTCTCGCTGGTCGTGTCGGAGTATCGTCCCATCGGACGTTAAGAGTAATAGGGAATAGAGAGTGCACTTGTGTTTACGTGTACACTTGTGCAGTATAATATCTCCTGCGCAGATAGCTGAGTTTGGCTGTCGTGGCTAAAATCGGTCACGAGCACATCATTACTATATGTATTAATTATTACTATGTCTAATATCGAAGTGTTGTTTTTCTCAAGGGTAAAACCGTGAAGCTTTACTAAACTAAAACAGATTTGAAGTAAAAATACAAATAATTCGCATTTCACGCTTTTTATTTGTAAAATGAAAAATAAATTAGATTAGTGATACCGATTTGAATTGAATTCTATTTTATATAAAAATATTCAGTTACATTCAGACAAGATGTTTGCTTATATCACCTGTAGCATTTTTTTGCTTCATATTTTCTTTTTCCAGTTTAGTGCGGGGGTAAGTTATTTTTAGACTGAATTTTTTAAAATACTTAGATTTTCGCGAATATTTGGAACCCTAAATAATTTCTTATTGTATCTAAAAAAGGTTTTTATACAATGAATTCAACTCATTTCAATTGAATGAACTGTAGATTACATACAATAATTGTAGCCAATTTTAATCTCTTATATATTATATTTTTATTTATTATATTTACTTATATTAATGTATTTTATTTACAGGCTAGCCCGAATGCTGAATGTAAGTAAAATTCGTATAAATAGCTTACCACACGTTATGGTTTCTACATTGCAATAATCAATGCATGGCAGATATTCACGTAAAAACCATCGTAATACCATGTGGTAAATACGAGGGCGAATTTAGTCTACTTCGGGTCCAAGGGCCTCAAGCAATGTGGGGCAGTGTAAGCCTCGATAAAATTATATTAATAATTTGATTTATTATGATTAGAATAAATTAATAGTATCGAGAGAGAAAAAGTGAGTAAATGATTAATATGAACTGTATTCAATGGTGTTTTACAGTTTCACCTTTTTTAGTAGGCAGTTCAAGAAACATAAACAATAAGGGGCGGACAGTTATACGCCAAATTTTAAAATACGTTACTAAGAATACAGTAAGCCGATATATTATATATATATATATATATATATATATATATATATATATATATATATATATGTATATATATATATGTATATAGGTATATATAAGTTCATGTTATGGATGATGGATTTCAAGATATTTCACCGCTGTGCCTATGTATGGATATGTCTATGGATTTGCGGAGTGTTCAGGTTGTATATATGTACTTGTATGTATTCGGCCCTTTTTAACGTCGAACTGCTGGGCAACTCCTTTTTAATAGGAAGAGGGCCAGACCAAAGTCTACCACGCTTGTTAATCTTCATCTTTCGATAACTTGCTAGGTTCTCTTAGAAATATAGGTTTCTTCACGATCTGAAATCACAGTAAGGCAAGTGGTAATCATGTTGAAAATTATAAGAATATTGTAAGATTTTATAAGTTTAGGTTATTATGTCTGATGGGATTTCTATGATAGGTCTTTCTCATTCAAGCTCATTTCTTAAAGCATAGATCTATTTTTCCCGAAAAAAATGAGGTATCCCTATTTAAAGTTTATTTTGTTTATTTTATAATACTGTCCAGAGTTGGGAAGTTGGTGGTGTTTCACCCCCGTGCCTCGGAGAGCACGTAAAGCTGTCAGTCCTGGGGCTTAACTCTCACCGGTTGTTTCGAGCAATCGTCCCACCGGAGTATGAGAGCGACAGGAATAGAGAGTGCAATTGTGTCTGCGCGTACACTTGTGCACTATAATATCTCCTGCGCAGATGGCTAGTATCAATGAGATTGTTCTCCGTGGCTGAAATTATATTTAATTATATTTTCAGATGATGACCCAGAAACACGAAGAAGTTTAAGATGTTTTGAAAGTGTAAGTAACGTATATGTTTGTAATACGTAGTACTATAAACTTTTTTAAGTATTTAAATTAAAATTGATCAAAACATTTTTTTTATTTTTGCCTTAAATACATCAATTTTTGATACATGTTTCATTTAACTTGTTTTCAGTGTGCTGAGCCTTACTGCAAAAGCGAAGTGAGTACGACATATTGTCATAATCCATGATAAATTTATAATATTTGTATCGAAAATATTATAGAATATTATTTCTCAAAAAAAAAATTTCTATTTTAGTGCGAAGGTGATAAAGGCAAATCTAACGTAAGTAGTTAAAAATTAAATGGTACTTACTGTCATAATACCGTTAATAGGAATACGTTATTGTTAAGCAAGAATTATTTTAATAAAAATAATATTAAAAAGCGAGTTCTAAAATGAAATAAATAGTGAATCTCACTCAATCGCACACCTAGTAAGTATTCTGTCACTCACATTCAACAAATAATCACATGCGAAATAATCCGAAAAGATAGTTTTATTTAAAACTAGCGACTCACCCTCGCTCCGCTCGGGTTCGTCCCGACTTACGTTTTAACTTTTAGTATAGATTTCTCAGACATGAGATATTTTCTTACAGTAAAAAGTATCCTATATGTTGACCTGGATAACCAGCTATCATCATACTAAATTTCATCATGATCTCTCCAGTGGTTTTTTTGTGATGCGGTCATAGACAGACAGAAAGATAGACAGACAGACTAAAATTCCAAAAACTATAGATTCGGCATCTGTATCGATGATAATGACTATTTCAATAAGATTTTCCAAAAAAGATTTAAGTTACAGATTCGACTTAGTCAGAATTTTATTATTTGCATAGATTTTATTTAAAATGTCAAATATTCGCATATAACTAAGAAAGATATTTTCACCTTTGATATTTTTTATGACAAAATTGAACTGATTTTTTTCTATCGATATAAAAAATATGTGATTGACATCTAATAAAAATGTAACGTAATCTTAATGTGATGTATTTTTTCTAGTGCCATGCCTCAAATTGTCTTGCATCGGTATGTATATTGATTTAAAATTTAAAATTATAATAATACTGTATTCAAGTCTAATTTTATTTCTTCACTTCATAGTTTAATAATTATTATAAATTTGTTTATACTTACACATATATCATTGACTAGCGACTCACCCTCGCATCGCTCGGGTTCGTCCCTGGCTTGCTTCCAGTAGATTCAGAGATTACTAACAGTAGTACTATGCGTTAGTGCAGATCATCATGTGTACAAAATTACGTCCAAATCTATTAATTACATTTTAAAATTTCTTTAGGGAAGCCATTGTAGAATCTTTCTAAAAATAAGCCTGTTATATCAAAAGCAAAGTGCGTTAAAAAAAATAAAAAAAGATAATATATAATGGTATATAATATCTTATTTATTTTTATATTTTAACAAAAAAAGTTGAAATAGAATATATATTAATATATGATTTATGAAAAATGTTCTCTCGGTAAACTGTCTGTGATATATGAAACCGGGTATTCCCAATTAAAATGTTCTAGTCAACCGTCCTTACATCCTCTGATGAACACTGTCCTTGATCGAAATATCAATGTCAAAGAAGAAAAATATTATAAAAAGGCTCTTATATTTTAAAAATATTATAATTTATAGGTATATACAATATCTATATTAATATATTAGCGATTCGTCAACATACTAGGGTTCGTCCCTAGTTAGGTTTTAACGTTTAGTGTAGATTTTTCAGAGATGAGATCTTTTCCTGCAGTAAAAAGTGTCCTATATGTTGACCCGGATAAACAGCTACCATCATAACAAATTCCATTAAAATTCCTCCAGTGGTTTTTCCTTTATGCGGTCACAAACAGACAGACAGACAAAAATTCTAAAAATTATAGATTCCGCTTCTGTGTCGATAATAATGTCTATTTCAATAAGATTTTCCAAAAAATATTTAATGTATAGATTCTTTTTTGTTACAATTTTATTATAAGTATAGTCTACATACGAGTATTTTATGCACTATGCAATCAGCTTTTTAAATTATATTTTGATTTTTTCTTTCATATATCCAGTGCGATGGAGATCATTGTGCATCACGGGTAAGTAATGGACATAAGCTTTTAAAAATATGTCTCGTAGCATACACACAAAAAATACATTTTAACTTAATACGTTCTATTTAAAGTCGGTTAAAAGTAAGTGATTCTATACGATTATCAAGTGTACTAGCAAGGTTATTAAAGAGCAGCATTCGGCGTAACTCTGTTTTCTCTTGAGTTAGGCGTCGTTATTAAAAGATTTTCAACTTTTTTTTGAAAGAAATTGAAAGATCCAGGATGTGTAGTTACATATACAACGTTAAAATTTCTATGATATAACGTACTAGCAGAACCCGCGGCTTCGCTCGCGCTAAAACCACATAAAAATCTCTAAATAAGTAGTTTCATACAAACTTTCATCCTCTATTTTACCCCCTTATAGGATAAATTTAAAAAAATGCTTAAGCATGTACTTATTTAATTTAATTGAAAAGCATTAATACCAACTTTCAAGTAATTCTGATCATAAATATTTTTATGGGTTGTATTATAACGTGTTTTTCCGTGGGAATTAAATAATCTTCCGCGGGAAAAAGTAGCCTAAGTCACTCTCCAGCCCTCCAACTATCTCCACACAAAAAAACATGCCAATCCATCACTCCGTTTTGACCTGAAAGAAGGACAAACAAACAAACACACTTTCACATTTATAATATAAGTATGGATGTTAAAACGATTCGATTTGATAACATAACGTTTGATATAATTATGATCCCTCGTTAATCGTAAGGAATGAAGCATGAAGGAGGTGCTCCCGACTGTCATATGTATATACTTTTATATGACAGGCTTTGGAATTTGCTACAAATCTTGCATTTAGCAAGAATTTCGTTATGGTGAAAGGCCTATCTACTTACTACAAACATTGAGATACCAACAATTTATTATTATTTTATAATTTTATACTAAATCAATTTGGTTTTCTTTTTAATTTCAGTGCCACGGATCAGTTTGTAAGGCGCAGGTCAGTTTCTCTATTTTGAAATCCTATCCTATCCTTTATGGAAGCATGCATGCGTAATATATTTAAGCAATTTAAATGGCTTAGTTTAAGGTAAAGGGTAGATGGTCACTACCTTTCAGTATTACCATTTAAAAAAAAACTTAATATTTGCAATCTTCAATTAGATACCATTTAAAGACCTATCATTGATTGATTTAGTTCAATTTTACAGATTATTTTGAATTGTATAATAATATTAAATATATTTTTTATAATAATAACCGATTAGACAGAAATTTTAAAATAGAACGTGATCAACATGATGATTAATGCCTAAATAGGTATTCTGCATAAATGCTTACAATACCTTTCCCCGTTAAAGGTGAAAAGAAACACAGGCAGTCACTTTATAGTTTTATGTCTATTACCTCACTAGCGACTCATCCTCGCTTCGCTCGAGTTCGTTACTACTTTTTTTTACTTTTAACGGTCAGTATGGAAAAGATAGACTATCCTATAATATGTTCCTGAGATTAGCACGTTCAAACACACAAACTCTGCTTCTTTATAAAATGAGCATAGATATTCACTAACACTCGTATGTACAAGAACTATTATCGACACTTATTATATATTTAACTTACATACTGCAAGTTAATAAACTTAAACAATAATTATTCAAATATTAATAGGTACTATAAAATTTCAATTTTAGTAATGCTGTATGTAAAAAGCTAAAATTTTACTGTAATTTTTTTTTTCAGGTTGAAGGAAATAGTGGTTATGCTAAGGTAAAATTCATTCTGTAAATATTTACAAACTAAAAATTTTTTAATAAGTCGAGTTCAGATAAATAATAATTTATTTTAAAGTTATGAAAGCTACATTTAATTTACTCATGCTCGATTCCAAAATCAAATTGTTTGCTTATTTCTTGAAATTACCAAAATTTTATAGGCGGCCATACTATATATATAAAATGCGATAAAATGACTGTATATGCAGTACATTATAACTGGTACTTGAATTGAATATTATATAAGGAGACTATTCATTTCCCGCATCGTCCATCTTGGGCTTACATCGACGCCCATGTGTATATAGATATACTTCCTATATTACTTTAACACGCATATACTCGTATCTGATCGATGAAAATAGGACAGGAGTGAGGGAAATTTGCCTTTAGTTTTAATAGTTTATTTGAATCACTGTTTATTTTTACCATTCAGATTAAATTAAGAACTATTGTGCAATATATTTTAAACTAAAAATAATAAAAAATAGGCATCTCACCCAGACATGTGGGTAAGTTGCCCATGCCCATAGATATAAAGGATAGATGCCCACGAGTAATTATCTAATATTATAATGCTTAAACCAATTAATACACTGGGCATCTAACACTGAGTAACATTTTAGATTACTGATTTGATTGTGGGTTCTCCTAGATCGCACAAACAAAGCGATCCATTAGAACTCGGGTCAAAGAAAACATAGCTGATGTGAAACACCGTCGCAATACAACATCCTCAGTCCGTAAACATAGTCAGGACAGCCCAAGCCACTACTTTCGCTATATTTTTGTGATGCAACTATAAATTTACGGTTTTCAAATTTTTCCCTTAACTTGTGATATAAGACATTGCTTGCCAAATTTCATGATTCTAGGTCAACGGGAAGTACCGTATAGGTTTTGATTCCCTTGCGAATGTATATGCGATATAAACGGCTGTAGTAGTTTATCATATCCACAACTGAGAATTGATATTAATTTCAACTTTCAACAACTAATATCTCAACGCATTTGTGAGAAAACGGATCTCGACAGAGAGACTGACAGACAGATAGACGGATAGCGAAGTAATCCTATAAGGGTTCCTTTTTACACAAGCGATCGAGCATAATATATGTAGAGCTTTAACATTTGCTAAATTACTTTGGGATAAGAAAATTCATAGACACGAACATGTATCTGAAATTATTTGTTTTTCTATCTTTGCAGTGTGCTGGTTCGGAATGTAAATCACTTGTAAGTTTTTAAATAAATTTTGTACTATATCATAGGTGTCCTTACCCAAGTGTTCCAGAAAAGAGGTAATGTTTTTGTGATTATATATTATGAATGTGTGTGTTAGTTCTTAGCGTAAAGGGCTTGATGGTATTCTAGATGGAAGTTTTATAGTATGTAATATTCAAATAAGCTTCTGTTCCTAAAAAAATAAGGAATTATAATGTTTGTGCTACCATTTTCTGACAAACTACAAAGCAGTTTAACATAAAGACAGTTCTTTTATAAGTAACTGGCGACTCGCCCTCGTTCCGCTCGGGTTCGTTCCTACTTACGTTATAATTTTTAGTGTAGGTTTCTCAGAGATGAGCTATTTTCCTGCAGTAAAAAGTATCCTATATGTTGACCCGGATCACAACTATCACCATACCAAATTTCATTATAATTTATCTAGTGGTTTTTCATAATGCGGTCACAGACAGACACAAAAATTCTAAAAATTATAGATTCGGCGTCTGTATCGTTAATAATGTCCATGTCAATAAGATTTTCTAAAAAATATTTAATGTACAGATTCGGCTTTATTACAATTTTATTTTAGGTATAGACTAGGTATATATTTTATGTACTATGCAGTTAGCTTTTTTAAATAATATTTTAATTTTATTCTTTCATATATCCAGTGCGATGGAGATTATTGTGTATCACGGGTAAGTAATGGAAATAAACTTTTAAAAATATGTCTCGTAACATACACACAAAAAATATAACTTAACGTCTATTTAAAGTCGGTTAAAAATAAGTATCCGATTCTATCCGATTAATTATAATTAAAGAGCAGCATTGGGCGTAACTCTATTTTCTCTTTCAGTGAATTTGGCTTCTTTATTAAAAGATTTTATGTGTACTAACATGTATTTTCTTTTTAACGTCCCACTGCTGGGCACGGGCCTCCTCTCAATACGAGGGGGATCAGACCATAGTCCACCACGCTGACCAAGTGCGGGTTGGTGGACTTTACATGTCTTATAAACACTTGTTACGTTTTCTCAAACATGCATATTTCCTCACAACGTTTTCCTTCACCGTAAGATAAGTGGTAATCATGTTGAAAATGAGTCTCACATAAAAATATTAGAGATGCGAGAACTGAAATTCGAACCTGTTTCACTTGATATCGCAACGAGCGCGTTACCAGTGGGCAACCATCGAAAAAGTGTAGTAGCATATACAATGTTAAAATTTCTATAATGTAACATATGTTAAAACGATTCGATTTAATAACATAACATTTGATATAATTATGATCCCTCGTAAATCGGAAGGAATGGAGCATGACGGAGGTGCTCCCTACTGTCATTAAAAGTATGTATGGATAGTATATGTAGAAGTATATATGTATAGAAGGCTTTGGAATTTATAACAAATCTTGCATTTGGCAAGAATTTCATTATGGTGAAAGGCCTATCTATTTACTATATGATATTCTGTGTTACCCATTGAGATACCAACATTTTTTTTTAATTTTATACTAAATCAATTTGGTTGCTTTTTAATTACAGTGCCAAGGATCACTCTGTAAGGCGCAGGTCAGTTTCTCTATTTTGAAATCTTATCCTGTCCTTTATGCATGCATGCGTAATATATTTAAACAAAATACTTTTGTTTAAGGTAAAGGGTAGATGATCACTACCTTTCAGTATTACAATTTAAAAAAAAACTTAATGATATTTGCAATCTTCTATTAGATACAATTTAAAGACCTATCATTGATTGATTTAGTTCAATTTTTCAGATTATCTTAAATTGTATAATAATGTTAAATATATTTATTATAATAATAAGCGATTAGACAGAAATTTTAAAATGGAACGTGATCAACATATTGATTAATACCTAAATTCTATATAAATGCTTATACTCCCTTTCCCGGTTAAAGTGGAAAAGAAACAATAGCAGTTACTGTATGGTTTTATGTCTATTACCTCACTAGCTTCTCACCCTCGCTTCGCTCGGGTTCGTTACTACTTCTTTTACTTTTAACGTTCAGTATGGAAAAGATAGACTATCCTTTAATATGATCCTGAGATTAACGCTTTCAAACAAACAAACTCTGCCTCTTTTTAAAATTAGTATAGATATTCATCAACACTCATATGTACTAGAACTATTATCGATACCTATTATATTTTTAGCTTACATACTTAAGTTAATGATTTTATGTAAACTTAAACAATAATTATTCAAATATTAATAGGCACTAATGCACGAATTTCGATTTTAGTAATGCAGTACCTATGTAAAACAAAAAAAATACTTTATTTTTTTTCAGGTTGAAGGAAATAGCAGTTATGCTAAGGTAAAATTCATTCTATAAATATTTACAAACTTATCTAAGCATATATTTTTTTAATAATTCGAATTCAGATAAATAGTAATTTATTTTAGAGTTATGAAATCTACATTTAATTTACTCATGCTCGATTTCAAAATCGAATTATTTGCTTATTTCTTGAAATTACCAAAATTTTATTGGCGGCCATACTATATAAAATGTGAGGAAATGACTGTATAAGTAGTACATTATAACTGGTACTTGAATTAAATATTATATAAGGAGACTATTCATTTCCCGCATCGTCCATCTTGGGCTTACATCGACGCCCATGTGTAGATATATTCCTATATTGCTTTAACGCGCATATATTCGTATCTTTTATGAAAACTGTAACGTATGTTAAATATTTAACTCACAAAAGTTAAATATTTTTACAGTCGATTTTATACATTGTTTTTACACGAAAACAAATCGCGAATTCGGTAACAAGTATATGTATATATGTAGAACATAAAAAGTGTATAATGTGAAGTGTTCCGAGTGTAAGTAGTTTTCACTGTTAGACGTCTCAATCTGATTGCACCATCGCTTTTTTTCTACCGGTAAGCATTTTCATTTTATTTAATGTTGATATTATTTTAATTTTTAATTTAATTTAATAATTTATTTCAGGCAATATTTACAAAAAGATCTTAAATATGTAAACAGAGGCCCAAAACATATATACCTTAAAAACTAACATATATATACAATTTTTTTAATGAAAACTAAATGAAAACTAATATAATAAAACTTTAATTTATTAAATTAACAATATACAACGCAATGACCACAGAGTATAGAAGAGAGAGGTTATAAAGGAATTCTGTTCTTTGAACTCTTACCAAGCAACCAAACGATGAATTCAAACGTGTACGTAGACGTACGTTCATCAACTCGCAAAACTGAACGATGCAATGAAACAATAGCGACCAGAACTGGCAAATCAAAGGATGTTGTTTTCCAGCATCATAATGCAAAACCCGACACATTTTTGGTTACTAGGTTGGGAAGTGTTATCACATCCAGCATATAGCCCTGACCTCGCACCTTCAGATTACCATTTATTTCGTTTAAATCAGACCTTTTTAAATGGTAAAAGTTTAATGACGCTAATGATGTAAAATCACATTTAATTCAGTGTTTTGCTTGCAAAATTAGTTTTTTTTGAAGATAGAATTATGATACAGCCTGAAAGATGGCAAAAGGTCACCGATAAAAACTCACAATACCTAATTGAATAAAGTTATATTTTTAAGTAAAACAAAAAAAAAATCCTACGCATATAAAACACGCAATCACTTAGTTTCCAACCTTTAGATATAACTTCCTACTGCAGAGCTCTGATAAATTTTTATAATATATATTTTCTAAATATTTATATATTCTAAGAGCTTATTTAATATAGTATATAATATTTAGAATTTTGATTAAATTAGTATTATTTTATAATTAAAATTTAGAAGAGAGTTCTTGGCCTCCATCAAAACCAGAAGTTCGAAATCTTTATCAAACGGCTATTGATATTTTATGTACTGCTCCAAGAACACGTAAAGCCATCGGTCTAACAAATCCAGTTGAACGTAATATCTTCTTGAAACTGAAATAAAGTTATTAATATTTATTTATTTAATATTTTCAGTGTTCAGGTTCTGCGTGCGAAGCTCAGGTATCTACCAGATTTATTAAGACCAAGATTATTTTTTCATTGTCATACTGAAATATTATACTAAATTTAATGAGCATTTAAATGGATATCGTAAGAACGTTAGTTTATACAATTCCTATTTTGAGTGGTAAATTGACTGTACATTTTTTTAATAGTTTTCTAAATTGGCAGTTATTTATTGGATCTTTCATTTTAGGTTATTTTACCTTGAATCAATTTTATGATTGAAAACTTTAAATATAAAATTATTATAACAAAATTAAATTTAAAAATGATGTCAAATTTTACATTTGTTACTTTTTTGCAGTGCATTGGGGAAAGCTGCAGAGCGAAGGTATACAATTAGTAATTTTAAAGAGACTTTCTTCTTTTTAATTTTAAGTAATGTTAATAAATTACATTACCTTTTATTACAGTGTTTTGGCTCAGGCTGCAAAACTTTGGTATGTTATACTTTCTTAATATTTTCTTTTATTTAAAACCGTAGTATGTTATTTAATTATTGTAAATGTTAAAAGATGTCGAGGGGACAAACCAATTTATTTCTATTTTAAAAATAATCCAATATGTTTTAGTAATTTTAAATAAAACTGTTAAAGTAAATACATATAAGTTTATTATACGTTAAGTAAATAAAATTAAATTTTGTGATGTATTTTAGTGCAATGGTGAGGACTGTAATGGTCAGTCTCCAACAACGAATGCTACATCAAAACCCGATGTTAAGCCTGATCAACCCACGAATTCTAATACTACAGAAAAACCTGATGTAAAACCTAATCAACCTTCAAAAACTAATTCAATATCAAAACCTGATGTAAAGCCTAATGAACCTTCAAAAACTAATTCAACATCAAAACCTGATGTAAAGCCTAATGAATCTTCAAAAACTAATTCAACATCAAAACCGGATGTAAAGCCTAATGAACCTTCAAAAACTAATTCAACATCAAAACCTGATGTAAAGCCTAATCAACCTTCAAAACGGGATGAAAAGCCTAATAGACCTTCAAAATCGAGTTCAATATCAAAATCTGATATAATAATGCCTAATCAACTTTCAAAGCCGGATGAAAATCCTAATCGACCTTCAAATACAGATTCAATATCAAAACCTGATGTAAAACCTTTTCAACTTTCAAAACCTGATAAAAAATCTAATCAACCTTTTATAACCTACCTACCTAGTATTTTTGAATATTGATTAGCTTTAGTTAATGAAAACTTGAAAATAATAATGGATGATAAAACCAAATCTGATAATTTAAAGATTATTTGAAAGTTGTAGAAGAGTAATAATATAACCTGTATTTTAAATATGTATTTTATTGTCTACTTAAGGAAACATGTATTATTCTTCTTCTTATTGATATGTAATGAGACCCCATGACTTAATTATAGGTTTATATTTATCATTTATTTGTTAATTTTCGTTTAAACGAAGGAAAACAAGCAAGGGAAGCAAAACTACGACCGAGGTGACAGGACCTCTTCAGAACTGACACGAATCTCTAAAATGCAATTTAGTGTACTTATGCCTAGAGATTGTTTTGCAAAGAAATATTTAAATGATAATAAAAAAAATGAGTGTGTGTAACCTTTGTGCGCGTTTGAAGTAAAATTTCTTTGGCACTGAGGCAATTAAATTAAAACATATCAAAATATAAATATAATATTTTTCTATAATTATTAATAATATATTTTGATTGTAATAAGTAATATAATTATTACTAGTAGTTCTGCGAACAGTAGACCTCGCGAGCACAAACTTTTTTGCAACAATTAATATAACATTAAAGTTATTTGAGCAATTCACTGCATTTTGAAGAGCTATTCTGCTCATCACGACGATGATCCTCATTAAATCTTTACGAATTTTTTATGAGAAGTTCTTAAAGTAACTACCTTCAAATAAAAAAATAACCATCGAAATTGGATCTCTTAAAGCGAAGATATCCAGTGTCACCCTTTTTTGCTATGAGGAGTCCAACAAGACCAACAAACTGACAGAGGAAAGCAAATTTTACCAGTCTTAAAGCAGAAACGCCTCGCTCGCTCGATCAATAAAATTATTAATAACTAGCAACTCACCCTCGCTTTGCTCGGGTTCGTCCCTAGGTACGTTTTAACGTTTAGTATAGATTTTTCAGAAAACTAAAAAAAACATAAAAAATGTATAATGACCCGGATAAATATAACATGGTAAATTGGAAAGTCTAGAAAACCTATTTTCTATTCCTTTTTCTATTTCCTATCTAAGTACATACACACAAAGCTTTCATTTTGGAGGTCGGGAATAGCAATGGAAAATTGTATTACATTGTCCATACTAATATTATACGTGTGAAAGTATTATACGTGTGAAAGTTTGTGAGGATGGATGGATGTTTGCTACTCTTTCACGCCAGAACGGCTGAACGGATCTGGATGAAATTTGGCACAGAAATAGATTATATTCTGGAATAGCACATAAGCTATTTTTAATCCCGGAAAAATGTACGGTACTCGTCGGATAGATTTGTTTTTGTCTAAAAAATTAAAGGTATATTTACGAAATTTATTCTAAAACTTAAGTGAATATTTAGATTTTGGCAGAACATTATGTATTTAGGAAAAACAAGTATATTGATGAAGTCAAACCAATTACACAAACCTACTTAGTTAAAAAGAGTACGTAGAAAATATTATGAATATTAGTAGACTGTTGATAGATTTCTAATGATTTTATCTTTTAGAAACACAGTAGTTTGTAATCGGTCGATTCAACATTAGCATAAAATGTTTCCAGTATTTGGACTATAATTTACAGCTTTATCTCTTGATCGTTAACAACAGACAGCAGTCATCGTTGTTGTAACCATTCATAGTTGCAAATTATTTGCATGCTTAAGCAAAGTAACTGTCTATTCGGCTTTGCTTTTACAGAACTAGTACTCTAGATGCCTTTCGTCTTAATAATATTAGAGACGCTATCAAAAGGGACGACATTCTTCGATTCAATTCACTTATATCACCATACTGGCTAGTTTTGCAAAATGCTTATAAATGATAGCCTATTGGTAAAACAAATATGAAAATCTAGTTTCCTGAATTTCCCTATTAACAGTAACGTTAAACGCATGTCTTATCATTGAAATAAATAAATTAATAAAGTGAATAAAATATATAAAAAAATATATTATCATGTCTAAACATTGTGCATTCACGATTTTCACTTCTGACAGTCGATACAAGCAAGATATAAGTGCCGTTTATAAAACCTCAAGTTGACAAGAAAAATTGATTGGAGTGTATTTATTTATCATGAAGAACCGATTTAACAATTGAAAAAAAAAACATACCTACTTATATGCGTACTAAACATTCCATAAATACAAATGGTCTAAGAAAAGAAAATTCAAATCTGTTATCAGCAACTGTATCAAAGTTTAGTAACTATTTATTTTATGAGATTATGCTCTAGACATCAATCTATTAACCCTCAAGAGAAGCACTATCGCTGCTGCGCGATCCAGAAGCAGTGGGTATGCCATACCCGCGTGTCTTTGATTAATAATATCTTTCGATCAAATTGTCCGATATAGAATTTTTTTTTTTTCATTTTAAAGCTTAGACAGTGTAGATTAAGAATATATCCATAGAATTGTCATAAAGAAAAAATTATCTTGAATAATATAGAAAAAAATCAACATAAACCCTTAAAATGAGGTGTTTTATTCAAATTACCATATCTAGGCAGAATTTATAGATAAAAAATTTTTCCCGACGGCATTTGAAAGGGAATTAAATGTACTTTTAGATAGTTATTTCGTCATTTAACTGTAATTGATAAAAGATATTTATTTAGTTAGGTAAAGTTCAGTGTTTTTAGAATGATATTACTTAATTAAAAAATATGGATTCATTATTCTTTTATTAATACAAACATTTAAATTACTTTATAAAACTTATATTTTAAATGGATTAATGCTACAAAAAATTAAGAATATAACTTCAAGCTACATTTTTCAGCTTGGTCGACCACGTTTCCTCTTGCCTGATGTACTAGGTATTGATTCAGACTCATTGCTTGATGACTTACTTTCAACAGCTTCTACCTGCTCTTCTTCGCTTCCGTCTTCATCACTCTCATTATGCTGCACTTCAAAAACTGATTCAGTCTCGCTTTCACTTTCTTCGTCGTCAAAAACATCTGCAGCCTCATATAATGCGTTTACTTCAGACGCACGGCGAGTACGAGAACGTGTATTCATTTTGAGCTAGAGAAAAAATGAAAGAAACCGATAAATAAATGTTAAAAAAATAGAAAATCAAATTTTTAATAAAAAATACTATAGAAAATGTAATATTTATAATTTACTTACGAAAAACTGTCACGATCGGTAAAATTTCAATGTAAATACTCCAAAAAATGCACTTGAACTAAGCAATATATATAATAAAACTGACTGATGATATAAAATATCGATCAGAATTCTTTTAAAATAGATATTTTAGAATTCTAATTATATAAATACAAAAAATGAACTGAAAAACACAATTTTATGCAAAACGTTGAGTCAGATAAAATAACAAAATACTGACGCTACAACAGCACTGGGTAGCGCATACCCATAGACTGACTACGGCCGCCTATATTTTAGTCCGTATTCACATCTCAAGATAACTATGGTGGGGAATCTGTAGTGGGGATAGTAGAGATTTTTCCCCTAGGCAAAGTCACCTTCCCATTGTAACCATTTCTGAAGGAGAAATATTTTTAATTTACACCTGGGTATCCCATACCCAGTGCTTCTCTTGAGGGCTAATATAATAAAATTTAATAAACACAAAAGTATAATTTTGCTATATTTGTATTTAAAGTATTAAATTCGAACAATATAATATAATCTGAGAAGATGATCTTGAATTCTTGCACAATTTTTTTCATGTAGGTAGCATCCTATTCAACCCTTTTTAACGTCCCACTGCTGGGCACGGGCCTCTCCATATAAGGGGGATCAGGCCATAGTCCACCACGATGGCAAAGTGCGGGTTGGCGGACTTCACATGTCTTTCGAAAACTTGCTAGGTTCTCTCAGACATGCTGGTTTCCTCACAATCTTTTCCTTCACCGAAAAACAAGTAGTAATCATGTAGGAAATTATTCGCACTTGAAAATATCAGAGGTGAAAATATGAGAGGATTTGAACCCGTACCACTCGGGTTCCCAAGCGAGTGCATTACCACATTATCGAACTAACTAACATCATCTTCCGTCAGTTCCATTTTTACAATGTAAGTTTAATGTTAGAGAAAACAAAACATATGTACCGCCCACTAGGGCTGCCTATGGCGGATCTTTTTTAAATTTTCAGAGGAAAAAGGCTAATTGGTTAAATGGATGTCTCATGAGTCTGATGATATCATGACGTTCAGTAGAAAATTGTTTTAATTCAGAATTAAATATTTTGAATTATATGGTGAATGATTTGTTTATTTCTAAACACCATGGACTATAATGACTTTATGGTATACTTGTTATGATGATTGATTGTATTTTTCAACCGACTTCCTCAAAAAGGAGGAGGTTCTCAATTCGGCTGTATGTTTTTTTATGTTTGTTAGCTCAGAACTCCGTCATTTGTTAACCGATTTAGACAATTTTTGTTTTGTTTGAAAGTGTATACTTCCAGATTGGTCCCATTTAAATTAAAAAAAAAAAATACCACCCAACAAATACACTTAAGTGTGGGAAAATAGCTAATGATGAATTTAAAATACTTCTAATTGTCATATTGACTTGAAACTTTGCAAGTGTGTCTATTTCTGTTGATAGTGCAGTGTTTCGGTATCGTTAACCTGATCTGATGGTAAGACCAGAAGGTGGATAGGTGGAACTCTTCAACAGCTAATAGTAGATACTTTGAGTTTGGGCTTATTTTGTTTGAATTGACAAGCCTAACAGTCAGAATTTTTAGTGTTACTAATAAAAGTGAATTTTACTTTTTCAGTCTTCATATTAAAAATAGCATCAAAGTGACTTCAACGGTTTAAGCAAATATTTTATTAAAATACTTTCTTCTCACTTTGCTGCTACTATGTCTACACTAAAACGGGAAAAATAAAAACTTTTTAACAAAAAAATAAAAACCGACTTCAAAACACGCACTAAAAAGTAAAAAAAAAACTGATTGGTAGTTTTCGTTTACTATACATACCTAATCAATTAAATTAAAAATATATTCGAAGTCGGTGCCAGCCAATACAAAGCAAAGCACACCGAGTCGTGTCAAAGTATCCTCCCATCGGACTTTGAGAGTAATAGGGAATGGAGAGTGCACTTGCGTTTGCGCGCACATGTGTGCAGTATTATGTCTCCAGCGCAGATGGATCAGTCAGATTGGCCGTCGTGGCTAAAACCGGTGAGGAGGACATCATTACTATTTGTATTAGTACTATGCTAATACCGAAGTGTTCACCGGTGGTAGGATTTTGTCAAGCCTGAGGCGTCCGAGTGGATGGGTACCACCCCCTTATCTATTTCTCCCGCCAAGCAACAGTGATTACATTGTTGTGTTCCGGTTTTAAGGACAAGGTAGCCAGCGCAATTACAGGCAAGAGGCATATCATCTTAGTCCTCACAGTGACAACGCACCTGCGGTTTTGCAGTTTTGTAACATAAAAGCTAAGAGCATGAATCGTAGGTGTTATGGGCGACAGGCACAGCTTTCCATCAGGTGGGATGTCGGCTCGTTTGTCACTAAATACCATAAAAAAAATTTTTTTCAAGGTTAAAACCGTGAAGTTTTACTAAGTTTAAACAGATTTGAAGTCAACATACAAATTATTGGCATTTCACGCCTTTTTATTTGTAAAATTAAACATAAATTAGATTAGTAATACCGAGTTGAATTGAATTCTATTTTATATAAAAATATTCAGTTCCATTCAGACAAGATGTTTGCTTATATCACCTTTAGCATTTTTTTGCTTCATATTTTCTTTTTCCAGTTTAGTGCGGGGGTAAGTTATTTTATACTAAATTTTATGGAATATTTGAAACTTTAAATAAAATCTTATTATACCCTAAAAAAGATTTCTTATACAATTAATTCAAACGTTTTTGTATACAATTAATTTAACTCATTTCAATTCTTTAGGAGTGCCATTTGGTCACAGTTTATATCGCCAATGTCAATTATTATAGCCAGTTTTAATCTATTATAATTGATTATATTTACTTATATTAATGTTATTTTATTTACAGACTAGTCCGAATGCTGCATGTGAGTAAAATTATTTTAAATAGGTTCTACATTGTGATAATCAGTGCATGGCAGATATATTCGTAAAAACTATCGTGACACCATGTGGTAAATATAGCGGCGAATTTAGTCCACTTCGGCTCCATGGCAAAGGGCGGCAACCAGCGTGGGGCGGTGTAAGTCTCGTCAAAATTATATTAATAATTTGATTTATTTAGATTAGAATAAATTAATAGTATCGAGAGAGAAAATGAGTAAATGATTAATATGTCGTGCATTCAATGATTTTTTTAGTTTCACCTTATTTAGTCGGTACAAGAAACATATAACATGAGGGGCGGACAATGTTATATTATGTCAAATTTTAAAATACATTATGTAAAATATTGAAAGCCTATATAGCTAAACTCCAGTCATACATTTTAAGATATTTCTTCGTAATGCGTAGTGGCTGTGAGGATTTGTAGCGTGTTTAGGTTGTATTCAGTTCTTTTTAACGTCCATCTCAGTAATAGGAAGACGATCAGGTCAAAGTCCACCACGTTGGCGAACATCATATATATTTCGAAAAATTGCTAGGTTCTCTCAGAAATGCAGATTTCTTCATGATATTAAATCACAGGAAGGCAAGTGGTAATCATGTTGAAAATTATTAAGATACTGTATGACTTTAGGTTAATTATCTCTGACGGGATTTGTATGATAGGTCTTCCTCATTCTTCAGGCTCGTCTTTGAAGCAAAGATTTATTTTTCTGTATCCGTATTTAAAGTTTAGGAAAAATTATTATAATATGTTTTATGGTATTGCCCGGAGTTGGGAAGTTGGCGATGTTCTATCCCCGTGCCTCGGAGAGTACGTAAAGTTGGTCTTGCGCCGGTTGTGTCGAGCGTCTTCCCACAGGAGTATCAGAGTGACAGGAATAGAGAGTGCACTTGTGTTTGCGCGCATACTTGTGCACTATAATATCTCCTGCTTAGAATTCGTTATGTTGTATGTTTCTTGTACCTATTAAAAAGGTTTTTAAATTAAAGTTAAAAATAAAATATAATTTTTTTAAAGGTATCAATTATATTTTCAGATCATGTCCCTGAAACACGAAGAGATTTAAGATGTTTTGAAAGAGTGAGTAATGTGGTGCGCGCGCGCGTGGTTGCGTGCGTGTGTGCGTGTGGTACTTTTTTTGTTATACGTTTATAATAGTACTATGAATTTTTGTAGTATTTACTTTAAAAATAATAAACATATTTTTTTGCCTTAGATATACCAATTTTTGATACACGTTTCGTTTGACTTGTTTTCAGTGTTCTGAGCCTTACTGTAGAAGCGAGGTGAGTACCACATATTATTATCATAACCCATGATTTTGTAATATTTGTAGGTTGCCAAGTCTTTTTATTTCTTGTTTTTTTTTTATTACTGTACACCTAAAGAATAGTTAACAATGCCACCAAGCAGATACGAAAATATATATTTTTTAATATTATTTTTCCATTTTAGTGTGAAGGTGATAGAGGCAAATCATACGTAAGTAGTTTAAAATTAAATGCTATTTATTATTATAATACCGTTAATACGAATAGGTTATTGTCAAGCAAGAATAGTTTTAATGAAAAAGTATAAAAAGCGAGTTCTAGAATGGAATAAATGGATGAATGAATTAACGAAAGAACGAACGAATGAATTAATGAATGAATGAATAAATAAACATGTTGGGATATTAACACACAGCACCATCTGGTTCCATGGTAAGCTACGAGGCGTATGCTATAGATACCAGTTAGTTGATACACTACAAATATGTAGTTGTATGTTTTCTTTTATCTAATATGATGCATATTTATAATATAAGTTGTTGATATTGTTGCAGCACTCGCATGACATATAAATAGTTGTAAATTCAATTGTAAAAGCGGAACGACTGTCACCTAAAATACAGGCTCTGGCTTAGGTTAGGAGGTAGTAGTTCAACTTATTTTTTGACAATTTTTGTACAATTTGCTTTACTTACTTTAACCTCTTATATTGTCACTTTATATAGTACAATAAATTATTATTATTATTATTATATGTATATAAATTTAAAGTTTAAATACATACATATTATCAATATAAACAAACCTCCATGACTGGAGTATAAATATTCGTGCTTATCACACTAATGAATGCTCCCAGCGGGGCTCAAATCTGCGACCGCTGGCACAGCAGTAGGGTCACTACAAACTGAGCCAAAGGTGCCGTCGTCTCAATCGCACACCGAGGACATGTCCCTGAAACACGAAGAGTCTATGTCTCTCACAATCTAACAGTTTTAGTGAAAGTCACATTAAAAAAAATGCTTAGTACATTTCGTGTGTGGTGTATAAGTGAGAATAATTTCATCTTTGATATTTTTATAAGAAAGTTGAACTCGTTTTTTTCTATCGATATAAAAAATATTTGATTAAAATCAAATAAAAAATTTAACGTCATTTTGATATTTGTTCTAGTGCGATGGCGAATTTTGTCTTGCAACGGTATGTATATTAATCCAAAATTATAATATTAGTGTCTAATTTAGTCTAATTAATCTAAGTCTAATTAATTTAAAAAAACTGTGCTATCTTGTAAGTTGGAACAAATCACGTTTTGAAAAAAATCGAGATCGGATAAGTACCTAGTTTCAGAGTTCTTCGCGGACCAACATCGTGACACGAGAATTTTATATATTAAGATGTACATTCATAAGGATAGAAAAGTAGGTAAGTACTTTAAAAAAATAGAAACAATCCTCTTTTTACCTTGATTTTACCTTGATTTGTCGCATCGAAATTCTTTATTTCTTACCAAAATTGTAGGATATAGCGATTTATATGATCTTAATTTGAGAAGTGATTTGTTCCCAATATAAACTTTTATCCTCTATTTCACCCCCTTGTAGTTTCATTTTAGCGACAAAAACTAGCCTTGGTCCTTCTCCAACCCCATCTTCCCATCTATCTATAAACCAAAATTCATCAAAATTGGTTAAACAATTTAGGCGTGAAAACGTAACAGACAGACAGAAAGAGTTACTTTCGCATTTATAGTATTAAATGTATATAGAGTATGGATAAACAGTGCCAACTTTTAGGTTATTTTAATATTAACAGTGGCCTATTGTTGCTCTAGGTCAGCATGTGTACTAAATAACATCCAAATCTATCACTTACATTTTAAAATTTATTTAGATAAGCCATTGTAGAATCTTTCTAACAATAAAAAAGATATTATATATAGCTAGCGACTCACCCTCGCTTCGTTCGGATTCGTCCTAGATCGATTCCCCATACAAACTTTCATCTCCATTTTCACCCCCTTAAGGGATAATTTCCAGGATAAAAACTATCCTATATCCTTCCCAGTCCTTTCCAAGGTCTCAAAATATCCTCTTACCAAATTTCATCTAAATCGGTCCAGTAGTTTCGGAGCCTATTCGCTACGAACAAACAAAAAATAAAATCTTTCCTCTTTATAATATTAGTATAGATTTTATATAATGGAATATATAATAACTTTTTATATTTTTATATTTTATCATAAAAGTTGAAATAGTATACATGGTGGAACAAATCGATGGGACATGGAAGAAAAGTACCTTAAATATTGAAGTTATCAAGATTTACTCAAAGGAAACATTTCATTATTTTAAAAAATTGTAATAACTGCATTTAATTTTATTTTAAAAAGCTTACCTGAATCGGGGATCGAACCAAATAAAAATGCAAAAAAGGACACTGTCACTATTAGTTTTTATATTTTTTTAGTTTAATCCCATTAATATTATATGCAAAAGTTTGAATGGATATATTTTGTTACTCAATCACGCCAGAACGGCTGAACGGATCTGAATGAAATGTCGCACAGAGATAGATTATAGTCTGGAATAGCACATAGGTATCTTTTAATCGCGGAAAAATGTACGGTTTCCATCAGATAGATTTGTTTTTGCTTTTCACTCGAGCGAGGGTAAGTTGCATTAGTTATTTTAATATACATATATGTCGCTAGTTGCTCTAAAAATCTGTCTTTCTCTACCTTATAGGATACCTTTATAGGGAGCTATGTTTGTAATTTTAGATATACATTTTAAATGAATTTAATGTAATAAATCTTTAAAATTTAAATTTATAAATGTTTTAAGATACTTTCGTGCTATATTTGTATTTTTTGAAATTATTTTGTAATTTTGTGGGTAGGTGCTCTTTGTAATAATTATGTACTGATCTTTGAGACGTCTAAAACCCTAGTCTCTCCCGTGACCATGATTGCTGTAAAGCATTCGAAACGTCGGAAACCAAAATCAAAATCAAACCGCGAAAAAATCCGAAAAGATAGTTTCATATAAAATGTCATGTATTCTCTAAGAAAGTACTATGTAGATAGACTAATTTAATTATCTTATTATATAAACTTTCGTTCTTTTAATAAAAAGAATAGAATTATAGAATTTGGGGCACAAAGAAGTTGTAAATTCATTGGAAAACTAAACCTTATATTATCGAAAACATTCAATTTAACCAGTTTTTATTTTCGGAAATTATATTTAATCTAAATAAATGTTTTATACTAATAAAGTTAGATTTTTAGTTATTGTATAAAAACTAAATTAAATTAAAAACCAAACCTTACACTAGATATGTAGTTGACGTGCAGGTATACCAGTAAAATGTACCATAACGTGTAATATTTGTTTCAGACCAGAGGAAAACGTTCATTTGCCGCGGTAATACATTTTTTACATATCTAAAGATAAATTATACGATTTTTTTTAATATTTTGCTTTCTTAATTTTATTTTTTATGTCCGTAGTGTAATGGCACTAATTGCGATGCTTTGGTAAGAATTTTTTTTATTTAATTTTTACAATATAGGAAATATTATACGACATAGGAGCGATTGGTTCGTCAAAGAACGAACTCATAATATCTGTAGTAATAGGACGTTCCATTAAAATAACTACTGTGCCACGACCTACAATGATTCATGAACCTCCAATTTCTTATGTATTTCTTATGTTCTGAGTGGAAAACGAAGTAGAGTGACTTTAAAGGTCTTTTGGTGTAACATGCACAATAATTGTCTAACTTACAGAGATTAATTATAAAATATTTTGTAGGCTGAATGTATATTCAAACGTCAACTTTAGATACCGTTATGTCATTTTTGATTTTGACGTTTGAATTTACATTCACTAAAAGGGTATAAAAGTGATTGCTAGACAAGTAAATCGGATTCTTACGCGTAACGTCGTGGTGTTAACATTGTGAAATAATAAGTGAATTGTGTGTGTAATAGTGATGTGAAGTGAAGTGATTAGTGTGTTTAAGTGGATAAATATGAGAATAAAAGATACATATTAGACAACTGCTGTCTTTTCTTTGATTCCTTCTGAGCTCGTTTTAGTTCAGAAGTGGGATCGGCAAAAATATATGTATATTTTTGTGCTCCGCCCGCAAGTAATAATCTAAGATAATGGAAGCTGAGCCTCACGACCCAGAACGTCGAAGCCTGGTGACTCCAGGGCGATCGCAGCGAAAAGAAAAATCAGTCCAAGGTCGTGCACGCAGCCGGCGACGTAGTCGCAGTCGTAGTCGTAGCCGCAGCCGCAGACGTAGTCGCAGCTGTAGACGTGACTGTAGCCGCAACATCAGTCACAGTCGTCATGGCAGCCGTCGTCGTAGCTGCAACCGCGGCCGCAGCCCAAGTATTAACTTCGAGAACTCACACAACAGTGCACGAAGTCAAAGCAGGTACTGTGATTTATATATTCAAGAACGTCATCTATATAACGAGAGAAAACGAATACGAGAACTAGAAGATGAATTACAAAAGAAGCTACGAGATCTGGACAGTGATAAAATCCAACCACTTCAAAATAAATCGAACAAACGACAACATGAAGAATCGGTACCACAAACACCATTAGAAGTTTCCCCAAAACGTACGAAAGAACAAACTGATATGTCATATAGTTTTCTTAATAATTTCTTAAAAATAATTGAGTCCAAAGCTAGCGATAGAGATTCGTTTTCTAGTTTAAATAATTTTATTCCTGAGTTTGATCCATTAATTAGAAATCAAACCGTAGAAATGTGGTTAGATAAGATTGATGAATGTGCCGAAATTTATAATTGGAGTGACAAACAAACTAGTCATTATGCTTTACAAAAGTTAACCGGTCATGCTAAATCTTGGTACCAGGGCCTACCTTCTCTTAAGCATAGTTGGTCAGAGTGGAAACAAATGTTACGAGATTCTTTTCCTATAAATGAAAATTATGCAGAATTACTAACTGAAATGCTTAATAGAAGAACACGTTCTGGCGAGTCTCTAGAAATGTACTACTTCTCTAAAATTAATTTACTAAACCGTTGCAAAATTTTTAGTAAACAAGCGGTAGACTGTATAGTTTATGGCATAGAGGATAGAGGTGTACGTGTCAGTGCTCAAGCAGCAAAATTTAATAGACCAGAAGATGTTTTAGAATTCTTTAATATCATAAAATCGCAGACAAAAGAAAATTTAGACGCAAAAAAATTCTTAAGATTCCCAAATAACAACGTTGGTAACTCTTCTCGTGTTAATGAATTAATCAATAAAAACCGACATAAACCAGAATCTTTAACCTGTTTTAACTGTAAAGAAGTAGGTCACCCTAGTTTTAAATGTCCAAAACCTATAATAAAATGTACAAATTGCAATCTTCTCGGACATACTGCATCAAACTGTCAAAAAAGAATTACCTCTGAACAAAAAAATGTTTTAGATGTATCTATTAAAACTACACCGAATGATAAATATAAAGTTATGATCAGAATTAATGGTAATTCTATATGCTGTCAAGTAGATCTAGGTAGTGAGGTTACATTGATACGAGAAAGCGACGCTAAAGCTATAAAATTAACATGGACCTCTGTGAATAGCCCGTATTTAAGAGGGTTAGGAAATATACCCTATTTACCGTTAGGACGTACATTTGCAGACATAGAACTTCAAGGCTTAGTAGAAAAACAAGTTGAAATACTTATTGTAGCAGATAGTTTGATTAACTTGCCGGTATTATTAGGTCATAGTTTCACTGAGAGACCAAATTTAAGAATAATTAAGACTGACACATACTTACAATTTGACCGAGTAGACGACACGTTAAATTCCAAAATATCCTTGCGTTCTGGGGTTAATTTAAAAATTGGTCTAGGGGAAATGAGAGTATTAATAGTGAAATCAGATGAAGTTTATAACGGTTATGTCTATATCAGGGGTAATATTAGAGGTTGTCCCGGTAATGAACACTATTGCCTGGTGAGTATGAAATAGTTAATGGTGAGTGTAAAATACTAATACAAAATGTAGGGGAGCAACCAGTCCATTATAGAATCGGCAATTTGGTAACACGAGCCTATTTTTTTAATGATTGTAGAAACTATTGTTCGGTTAATTCAGTTAATTATGACCTTTCTGTTCACACGTATAATACCACTATAAAGTATGGTGAACAACTTACTGATGTTGAAGTTAGGAGCCTAAAAGAGCTTTTACATAGATATAAAACTTGTTTCTCTACTGGTATGCACGACCTCGGTTTTACTACTGTAACTGAAATGGAAATTCACCTTAAAGATGTAAACCCAGTTGTTTATAGGCCTTATCGCTTATCACACTCGGAGCGTCAGTACGTACAAAAAACTATACACGAAATGATCGAACATGGAATTATTCGCGAATCTAGCTCCCCTTACGCGAGTCCCATAGTTTTAGTACAGAAGAAATCCGGTGAAAAACGTCTTTGTGTAGATTACCGTGCACTTAATAGCCGAACCAAAAGAGACCATTACCCTTTGCCTAGGATTGATGATCTGTTGGATCAGTTGAGCGGTCAGTCTTTGTTCTCTTCCCTTGATCTCGCTTCTGGCTATCACCAAATCCCTATAGCAGAAGAATCTCGGGAAAAAACGGCATTTGTTACACCAGACGGACAGTACGAGTATAACCGTATGCCGTTTGGTTTGGCAAATGCCCCAGCGGTTTTTCAGCGTACTATGCATAAAATTTTAAATAAATCTAAGGTCAATTATGTAATTATATATATGGATGACATACTAATACCCGCGAAAACTTTTGACGAAGGATTGAAACGGTTAGAAGAGATTTTTCGTTTGTTAAAAGAGGCCGGTCTAACACTAAAAATGGAAAAATGTAACTTCTTTCAAAAAAATATAGAGTTCTTAGGTTTTGAGATTGATATAAATGGTATTCGTCCTGGTAATCAAAAAACAGATGCAGTTTCTAAATTCCCTGTACCACGTAATCAGCATGATGTCCGTCGGTTTCTAGGGTTAGCCAGTTTTTTTAGACGTTTTATAAGGAATTTTGCGATCATAGCCAAACCTCTAACTAACTTATTAAAAAAAGACGTGACATGGAACTGGACTGACAAAGAAACAGAATCTTTTGAAACCTTAAAAAAAATTACTTATAACTAGACCAATATTGGCATTATACGACCATACCGCGGAGACTCAATTACATACGGATGCTAGCAAGTTAGGCCTAGCAGGAATATTAATGCAAAGAATTGACTCAAATCCTTGGCGTCCAGTTGCATATTATAGCCGACAAACCACTTCAGAAGAACAAAAGTTTCATTCTTTTGAACTGGAGACATTGGCAGTAGTTTGTTCCTTAAGTAAATTTCGTTCATATCTATTTGGAATTAAATTCACTATACTAACAGATTGCAATGCGCTAAGGTCGACTTTCGTTAAAAAGGATCTAATCCCTCGTATATCTCGTTGGTGGATACAGTTTCTCGAGTACGATTGTAAAATTGAATATCGTCCCGGTCATAGCATGAATCATGTGGATGCACTTAGTAGGAGCCCAGTCTCTATAGAATCAGATCAAGTTCATGTTTTAGACATTCTATCAATAAATTTAGATGACTGGATAGTTACAGCACAGACAACTGACGAAGAAATCCAACGCATAAAAACTATTTTAGAAGATCCCGAAACCCCAAAAATAGCAGCTATTCATAAAGAGTACAGAATTAAAAACGGCCGTGTATACAGAGCTATTGACGATAATACTCTACGTTGGGTAGTTCCCAGGGGAAGTCGTTGGCAGATTTTAAAAGCGAACCACGATGAAGTAGGTCATTTTGGTTTCGAAAAGACCCTTCAACGGATTCAGGCAAACTTTTGGTTCCCAAAGATGCGAAAATTTATAAAAAAATATGTTGCTGCTTGCTTAGAATGTGCTCATCATAAAGTTTCATCGGGATCTAAAGAAGGCTATTTACATCCCATTGAAAAAATCGAAATTCCTTTTCATACAATCCATGCAGACCATTTAGGCCCTTTTCCCCGAACTAAGAAGGGTAATACGTATATTTTAGTTATACTTGATAGTTTTACCAAATACGTTTATCTAGGCGCAGTACGTAGCACGAAAAGTAAAGCTAGTATTAAGATTTTTAAAACCTATTTTAGTTTGTTTGGCACCCCATCTCGTTTAATAACAGACAGAGGCACAAGCTTTAAGAGTCGTAAATTTGAAGATTTTATAAAATCAGTAGGTATTAAGCACATTTTAAATTCTGTAGCCACACCTCGAGCTAATGGGCAAGTAGAGCGGTACAACCGCACTATATTAACTTCTCTTAGTACTTTAAATCATGGTAAAAGTAATGACTCTTGGGACTTAAGATTACCGGAGGTACAATTGGGTATTAACACTAGTGTTCATGATGTTACTAAGAGAACGCCAACTGAAATGCTTTTTGGAAGAAAAGTAAATAATCCATCTCAGGGCATTTTGAACAGTATTAGTGATGATATAGGTAACGGGGTTATAAAAGACTCGTTAGACAAAATTAGGTTAGAAGCAAAAGAATTAATCAAATATAATCAAGAAAAAAATAAAGACAGATTTGACTTAAAGAGAAAATCAGCTAGAAAATATAAAGAGGGCGATTTGGTAAAAATTATTAGAACAATAGCTGGAAATTCAGGTCAGTCCAAGAAACTAGAACCCAAATGTCAAGGTCCATACAGAATAAAAAAGATATTACCTAATGATCGATTCGTAGTAGAAGATACGCCTCTAACTAGGAAAGGCAAGAGATACGAAAATGTAGTATCTATTGATAAGATTTCGCCTTGGTTAAGTTTTAGTGCCCCTGTCGTGTCTAGTGATAGTAGTGACAATGATAGTAATTAACAAGACTTAATTTCGAATATGTTGTAGTGATCTGAATATAATGTAAATTATATTGATTATTAAACTATGTACCTATTTTTAAATATATTTATTTCTGTATATTAGTGAAAACAGTGATTTTTATGACGTGTGGGCATGAGTTGGCTTATGAATTAGCCGCCCAAGGAGAAGCACGTCCTAGTGATCAGTGATATAATATGGGCAGGAGTTGGCGTAGGATATCGCCGCCCAAGTGATAATATTTGAGAATAGTGGTGAAGGAAGTAACCCTATTTTCTTGATCTAGTGAAATTATTAGTGAATATAGTGATTGTATATTTATTTCTATTGTTATTACTATTGTAAACTATGAACGTGAGGACACGTTCTTTAAAGGATGGCCGACTGTAACATGCACAATAATTGTCTAACTTACAGAGATTAATTATAAAATATTTTGTAGGCTGAATGTATATTCAAACGTCAACTTTAGATACCGTTATGTCATTTTTGATTTTGACGTTTGAATTTACATTCACTAAAAGGGTATAAAAGTGATTGCTAGACAAGTAAATCGGATTCTTACGCGTAACGTCGTGGTGTTAACATTGTGAAATAATAAGTGAATTGTGTGTGTAATAGTGATGTGAAGTGAAGTGATTAGTGTGTTTAAGTGGATAAATATGAGAATAAAAGATACATATTAGACAACTGCTGTCTTTTCTTTGATTCCTTCTGAGCTCGTTTTATTGGTGACTTAAAAATCGTGCTAACTTTAAGTTAAAAATATAAATTAAGTTAACACCAGGTAAATTTCTAAGATATTAATTAAATTTCTAAGAAATCTATTGTTATCTGTAACGCTGGTGTGTCCGCGGTCGTTGAGGGATTAAGACTCTAATTACTTAGAATTCTGATATCCTATAATATAAGAATCGAAAGAGGTATGTACTTATGTAATTGTTACTCATTTACCTCCGACACAAAAACGACGGGGTGTTATAAGTTTGACGTGTCTGTGTGTGGCATCGTAGCTCCCGAACGGATGAACCGATTTAGATATTGTTTTTTTCGTTTCAAAGGTGAATTATTCGGGAGTGTTCTTAGCTATGTTTGATGAAAATTTATAACACCCCGTCGTTTTTGCGTCGGGGCATAAAAAGGCTAAGGAACAGTATTTGAATATTTATCTTCAACAGTCATCCATCTATCCTTTTATCCTCATAAACTATCTAATATCATTATCGATTCCTATTATCGCTAAGTACCTACTGTTAATAGAAAAAAAGTCTATTAATATGGTATCGATAGCATAAAACTAACTAGCATACTGTATCTAATGCAGCATATTGTTCTTTTTTTTTCTTTTAAAAATATTAAAATAATATTTGGATTAAATTGTATACGTATTGTATATATATTTAAAAATTTCTCTTACTTTTCACAGTGTGAAGACCTACAGTGCACTTCTGAGGTAATCATATATATTACATTTTATGAAAGAAACTTTTAGTTGATATTTATTATGTGTTTGTTTTGTGAACAGTGTTTGCTTTTCAATCGTAGAAGTGATTATTACACGAAAGAAAGCTATGTTTGTGGCATTTTTAATGTTGAAATGTCCCAGACATTTCATTGTGTTGGAATTGGGCGTCACTATTTTCTCTTTCAATGAGTTTCGCTTCTTTATTCAAAAATTTTATGCATATTAACATGTATAGGGAATACCCCAACGTCCCATTTTAATGTCCCACTGCTGGGCACGGGCCTTCTTTCAATACGAGGGGGATCAGGCCATAATTCATCACGTAGGCCAAGTGCGGGTTGGCGGACTTCACATTTTTTTGACAACTTGCTAGATCTTTCCCAGACATGCAGTTTCCTCACGATTTTTTCCTTGATCGCATTAGCAAGCGGTAATTACTTGAAAATTATTCGCACATGAGAATGTCAGAGGTGCGAGAGCCGGGATTCGAACCCGCTTCGCCCGGTTTCTCAAGCAAGTGTGTTACCTATTAATTGGTCTACCATTGCTTTTAAGAAAAAGAAAGCTATATACAATATAAATTATATATGCATTATCAATTTACTCGAGTGCGTTTCTACAAGCCTTTTGTTATTATAATATTACTAGCAGAATCCGTGTCTTCGCTCGCGCTAAAACTACAATAAAATATCTAAAAAGATAGGTTCCATACAAACCCTCATCGCCTATTTTACCTCTTTATGGGATGAATTTCGAAAAATGCTTAAACACATATCTATTTAATTGTATTGAAGAGTATTAATACTAAGTTTCAAGTTATTTTGATCATAAATAATTTTTTGGGTTGTGTTATAACGTGTTTTCCCGTGGGAATGAGAGAATCTCCTGTGGTAAGCCTACGTCACTCTCCAGCTCTCAAACTATCTCCACACAAAAAATCACGCCAATCCATTATTCTGTTTCGACGTGAAAGAAGGACAAACAAACACACCCTCGCATTTATAATATTAGTATGGATATACAAATAGCGTCTCCTTTTGGAATATTTTTACTTTTTAGAGGACATTATGATTCATAAGTTTCGTTTGATAATCGAATAAAAAAATACTTGAATCAATATTTAAGTTGTGGTCAACTGTTCAACGTAATGCCTCTATCACCAATCCAATTTATTATATCAATATTATCTAATTCTTTATATTTTTGTTTCATTTCAGTGCAAAGGTGCAAGCTGTGTTTCAAAGGTAAATTAACAATTTATTTCACAAAAGAAATTAATTAGTTGACAGCTGTCTATCGGATCATTTGTCTACGATAATGCAAATATCAGGGTTCGAGTCTTGCTTAGGTAAAAAAATATAAAAAAATACAGCTGAATTGAGAACCTCCTCCTTTTTGAAGAAGTCGGTTGAAAAATATTAGCTTTATCAGTAAGTAGTGACCGTAAGAATCTGGTGTTGGGAAGTTGGCGGTTTTTCACCCCCGTGCCGTGAGAACACGTAAAGCCTTCAGCCCTGCGCCTCATCTTTCGCCTGGTCCTGCCGAGTAGTCATCCCGCCGGAGTATGAGAGTGACAGGAATAGAGAGTGACAGAAATAGAGAGTGCACTTCTGCGCGCACGCTTGTGCAATAATATTTCCTACGCAGATGGCTAGAGACACAGTGATATTGGTCGCTCTGGCTGAAATTAGTCAGGTTAGGAAGTGGTTCCTTGGTAAATGGCTAAACTACTAATTACGCCTCCCGTAGTCAAAATTATGTTTTAATTCCATTTGCTGTAGAAACCCTTGGCCTATGGAGTCAAAGTGCTAAGCACTTCTTAAAAGACATAACACCTCGTCATCGCCTCTACTGGTGACAGGAGGGCTGGCGCATTTCTCGCCCAAAGAATCGGCATTGCCATTTAACGGGGGAATGCCGCTAGCATTCTTGCCACTGTTTCACTTGGACATGACATGTACAGTAATAACTAAGTGTACATTTGTTTTGTATATATAATTAAGAATATTTGTAATTTTCTGTATTGTAAATAAAGTAAAAAAAAGTATAGGTAACTATGTGTTATGTATGTATTTCACGTACACGCGACACATAAAATTTAAATGAAGGATATGGAGATATAATTTGCCAGTAATATTATTAAAATGGTTTTGATCATAATTATTTATTTGTTTATATTTTATTTTCTAGTGTACAGGTGGCAAGTGTCTCTCTTTCGTAAGTACTCGACGCATACAATTAATTTGAACTTATTCAAATTACTTAGTAATATAAGTCTTGTTATTCTTTAGTTATAATATGACTGAATCGCAAAGGAAAATTAATAATGTTACGTACTACAAGTTTTGGGTCAAAAATTAAAGACGTCTTTTGCACTATGAATGTTTTCTAGCGGTTCACGAAGACACGCAGTACATTCACAGTTTTGGTTTAACTCAGTCTCCGAGCACTATTTTCCATCATTCGCTACACTAGCACTATGAGTATACTCCACTTTTTCGTATTTCCTCTTAAGCTTGTATTATATTTCTCCGAAATTCAACTATAAAGAGGTAAAGTTTCTGAGTTTGTGAGGTTGTAGGGGGTAATCTCTTTATCTCTGAATCTACTGAACCGGTTTAGATGAAATTTGGTAAGAAAATAGTTTTTAGATTCTGGGAAGGACAAAGAATACTTTTTATTGCGGAAACCATCTCTTAAGGGGGTAAAAATGGGGATGAAAGTTTATATGGGGAATCAACCTAGGGATAAACCCGAGCGAGGGTGAGTTACTTGTCTATTAATAAATAGAAAAAAAGAGTTATCTAAAAACAAAGCAATAGTTCTCTTCTCGGTTTAAAAGAGCGCAAACAGTATGTTCCTCCATCTCTTTGTTTCAGTTTAATCTGTTGGTTTTGCAGCATATATGTTAATAAGAAACTTATGGTTTCTAACGGAGTCACACCAAATAATCTTACTAAATTTTACATTTCACGTTTAACCTTTTAATTTCATAATGCATGCAATAATGCACAAAAATATATTTATTTCTTGTACTTTCTTCGTTTTTGCAAACCTATTTGTCAAGTCATATAAAGATTTTATCTCGGAAAGAAAGGTAAGCTATAAACTTGTGTGTACCCTTGTTTTGGCATTTTACACGTCGGCTTTAAGTCTCATATAACCTCGTGTCCACAATACAAGTTTATTACTTTTCATATCGAGGTTTGTCTCTTTTTCACCTTTCTCGCTACTTAATAGAGAAACTGCAGCATATTTGGAATACTGGTTTGTTATTTGGGAATAGAATATTTAAGATAAGTAGATAAACAATCGGGTAATAAGCCCAATGAAGCGTCTTAAATTATTTAAAAAATATTTAACTTTATTAATACAAATAATCAAACAAAACAGAAACGAGGAACCTTATCATAATTTCTTTCAAACTAGAAAAAACTTTAAAAGTGTGATTTGACTTAGGGTTGTTGGTATACCTATAGTATTCCAAATTATATTCACGTTTTCTTCTTTGACAATTGCTCACAATTTTTAGTAAATATCTTATCTTTTTTACAGTTATTATTATTAAATAATCAGTCTGTGCAATTTCCAGAGATAGCAGATTTATTTGTGCCATATTCTTCTTGTTTGCGTTTTTTGTTATTTTATTCTTGCCCTTTCCCTTTTTTATTTTTTTCTGTGCTCTGCTCTTTTTATCACACTTTTTAAATTGTGCATTTTCAAGTTCCTTCTTATCTGATACGATCCGATACTCTATTGCTGGTTCTCTTTTTAGGGTTCCGAATTTGAAGGGTGTCAACGAAACCCTATTACTTTGCTTCCGCTGTCCTTCCGTCTGTCCGTCTATCTGTCAGAGGGATTTTCACAGATTATGTATTTATATTACCGCTATAAGAAGAAATTATAAAATAATTAAAAATGCAAGAAACATTTTTTAACGTTCGTAATCGATCATTGAAGTTAATGTACTACATACATAGATAAAAACTATATTAATAAAAAGTGTGCGAATTCGACTCGCACTTGACCGATTGTTATTTATTGTGGGCATGGGAGAAATATGAGGAGTAACAAGGGAGTGAATTCCTGTCCTAGTACCAACAACAAGAATGAATATCTGCTTAAAAAATTTTGCAAAAAATTTGGAAAATTAAAATTATGTTCGCTTTCGGTATTCCAAATAGGCAACATAACATCCTCACCCAAAATTCCATGTCACATTTTTAATCATAGAAATATTCAGAAAATCAAAGCGTATTATTTATAAACTAACAGTTTAAATATTTACAATGAAGTTTTTACCATAATTAGTAAATGATTATTCTTACTCGTTCACGTGCCTGACAGCAGGAATGTATTGGTCATAGAGTATATTGCTACATATATAAAGTATTGGTGGCGATCTGTTTTTAGTACTTATTATATTGGCTTTGTATGACATATACTTATGACATTAGACGTTACGTTTACAGCAATAAAACTTTTTAACAAAAAAATAAAAACCGACTTCACAAAACCACTAAAAAGTAAAAAATAACTGATTGGTAGTTTTCATTTACTAATCAAATATCTAACATCATACCTAATCAAATATTTTCGAAGTCGTTGCTACCCGATACAAAGTAAAGCACACATATTTTATGAAATAATGGGTAGGCACTGTCTGTAACAAGTATATGTGTTTGAGACGTCTATAACCTTAGTCTCTCCCGTGACCATGATTGCCGTAAAGCATTCGAAACGTCGAGAACCAAAAATCAAAATAAATCGGCGAAAAAATCCGAAAAGATAGTTTTATTTAAATTGTCAAATATTCGCGTGAATCTCAGAAAGAATTACTGTAATATATTATGTACAGAATACAGGCTCTAAAACAACAGTTTTTAAAATAAAAATGTTTGTCTGTATATCTATTCGCATTTCACGCAAAAGGTACTGAATTGATATTAACTAAATTTTGTAGTGATAACTTATTACTCGGATCAACATTTAGGATATCTTTTACTACAGGAAAATATTTCTTACCTTCGAGAAAACACAATAACTGGTTCTATCGAGTTGTCAAGAATTATACATGGCTAACGCAGGCTAAGATGCATTAAAACGATGTACTAGAAAATTGTACAGTTGTCTACAGAAAAGTCTGCAATAGCATATGTCTATATCACGGTAATGTTATATGTAACATTACCGTGTCTATATCGTAAAGTACACTCGCAATAATAAAAGTAACTATTGCGAATTAAATTTAAATAACTATTGCGAAATGCCAAAAAAAGAAGCGAAGGTATGTTGCTGGTATTTAAGAAGAAACAAGTTAAGAAATATACGCCTTTGTATAAAAAAATTTTACTTTCCCTAATGCAATAGAAGTTTTATTACCGAGTATTACTTTCAACAATCCTTTTATACTTTTTGAGAATATATAAACGAAGAAGGCTTTAATTCAAATCTGTTTAGGCTCTAACACTTTCTACATAAACAAAATGAGATATAAAAATCGTAAAAGTATTTCTGTTTTATTTTACTCAGTTATCTAACGTTTTTACGATTATTATAATTTCTTTACTGAATTTTTTTCAAGTGGAATATCTCTCTAATAAAACACGAAGTGTTTTGTTTTAGTCTATAAGTATCTATTGTTTGAATGAAATGAATGTAGGATTTTAAATATACTAATATTATAAAGAGGTTGTTTTTTTGTTCGTTTGTTCGTTGGTTCGTTTGCTCGATATACTTATCCAATTTGAATTTTTTTTTGCATTAGATAGCCCGTTTATTGAGGAAGGCGATAGGCTATATATCATCCTAGGAAAATGTACGGTTCCCGTGGGATAGATTTATTTTTTTCTAGGGACGAACTCGAAGCGAAGCGAGGGTGAATCGAGAGTATAATAATGTGGTAGAACATAGCCTATCTCACACAGTAAAAATATCATCAGAATCGATTGAGTCGTTATATAGTATTTGTTGGTGCAAGACGGCCAACATCTCTATGTATGTACTGTACAAACTCAAATACAATGCAAATTAAACAAAATAAAAATCAATTGAAGTAATTAAACAATAATTTATAAACCATCTTCGAAATTTAGCAATTCGTCACATGCTCGGGGAATCCTAAACTGACATGCAACACTTGTTATTTTTAACACTCTTTTTTAGTTTCACCTGTATATTTGTAACGGAATCTTTGAACGCGATTTTCACCCACTTCAAAACTTCAGATTGAGCTGAAACTCTGGATATTTAACAAGGACCGATGACAATACATAGATCAAACTAAAAAATGGAACTTAAATTATAGTTAAAAAAACACGCTTTAATTATGAACCAAACTAAAAAGTAAAAAATATTTTTTAGTATAAGAAGAAAGTGATTAACGAGAAAATTAATGTGATTGTGAAAAAAGCGTGGGATATTTCATATTAGTTGTTATAAATATTCCATTGGTACGATTTCTAAAAGTAGAGTTAGTATAAAAATAATTTACAAATTACCCCATGCTTTTTTTACATGTATCTGAAATGATTTGTTTTTGTATCTTTGCAGTGTGCTGGTTCGGAATGTAAATCACTTGTAAGTTTTAAAAATAAATTTTGTACTATATCATAGGTGTCCTTACCCAAGTGTTTTAGAAAAGAGGTAATGTTTTTGTGGTTATATATTATGAATGTGTATATAGGTCCTTAGCGTAAAGGGCTTGATGGAATTCTAAATGGAAGTTTTATAGTATATATTCAAATAAGCTTCTGTTCCTAAAAAAATAAGAAATTATACCATTTAAGCTACCATTTTTGGACAAACTGCAAAAACAGTATAAAGACAGTTCTTTTATCAGTAACTACATATTTTACTACATAGTCAGCTTTTAAAAATTAAATTTTGATTTTTTCTTTCATATATCCAGAGCGAAGGAAACCGTTCTGTATCACGGGTAAGTGATGAAAATAAGCTTTTAAAAAGATGTCGCGTAACATACACACAAAACATGCAAATTAATTTACTACCTTTTATTTAAAGTCGGTTAAAAATAAAAATCCGATGCTATCCGATTGTTAAGTGTACTAGAAGGGTAGTAAAGAGCAGCATTGGGCGTCACTATTTTCTCTTTCAATGAGTTTCGCTTCTTTATTCAAAGATTTTATGCATACTAACATGTATAGGGAATACCCCAACGTCCCATTTTAATGTCCCACTGCTGGGCACGGGCCTCCCTTCAATGCGAGGGGGATCAGGCCATAGTCCACCACGCTGGCCAAGTGCGGGTTGGTGGATTTCGCATGTCTTATATAAACACTTGCTGGTTTTTTCATGACGTTTTCCTTACGGAAGACAAGTGGGAATCATGTTGAAAATTATTTTCACATAATAATATTAGAGGCGCGAGAACTGAGATTTGAACCCGCTTCACTTGATTTTGCAACGAGCACGCTACCGCTAGGAAACCATCTAGGAGCTGTAGTTACATAATATACAGCGTTAAAAATTTTATAATGAACATATTATGTAAAAACGATTCGATTTAATAACATTTGATATAATAACGATGCGTGTTAACAGGCTTCTCCTGGGCGAACTCGCTAGATCGTAGACCTTATCTGTGCCTTCGAGCTAAGATGAAGGTCAAGAGTGAGCCCATTTCTAATAAAAAAAAGCATGAAGGAGGAGTTGCCGACAGTCATATACACTTAATATGATATATAATAATAATAATAAATGTTGGGACATTAACCCACAGCGCCATCTAGTTCCATGGTAAGCTACGAGGCTTGTGTTATGGATACTAGATAGTTGATACACTATACATATATAACTTTAAATACATACATATTATAAATATAAACACCCATGACTGGAGTACAAACATTCGTACTCATCACACAAACGAATGCCCCCAGCGGGACTCGAACCTGTCATCTGAGCCAAACGTGTCGTCATATATATGACTTTGGAATTTTTTGCAAATCTTGCATTTTGCAAGAATTCCGTTATGGTCAAAGGCCCTATATACTATAATTGGTATTTTTTACTATGTGACCCATTGAGATACCAAGAATTAAAAAAGATTTTAATTTTATTTTATACTAATTCATTTGGTTTGCTTCTTATTTTCAGTGCTATGGATCACTTTGTAAGGCGCAGGTTAGTTTTCCCTTTTTGTAATCCTATCTTATCCTTTATCACATATTTTTTTTCATGAATTTTTTCGATGTTTTAATAGTTATTCTGCTATTCCGGGTCCAACAGACAAATCCAACAAAACAAAGATCATAAAAATCGGTCTAGCAGTTCCCGAGTTATAAGTGTTGTAACAAGTTTGACTTTGTTTTATATATTATAGATGTACCACGCATGCATACATAATGTATTTACCTAAAGAAAATGCCTTAGTTTAAGCTTACTTTTAAATATTATCTTATTTAAAAAAAAACTTAATTGGTAGTTCCTGAAATTAGTGCGTTCAAAGAAACAAACTTTGCCTCTTTATAATATTAGTATAGATAAATATTCATCAATACTCATAATATGTAGATACAAGAACTATTATCGAAACCTATTACATTTTTAACTTACATACTATAGTTAATGATTTTAAGACAAATCGACAATAATTATAATTCAAGTACTATAAAGTTTCAATTTTAGTAATGCTGTATGTAAAAAAACTAAAAATTTACTGTAATTTTGTTTCAGGTTGAAGGAGATCGTAGTTATGCTAAGGTAAAATGCATTCTATAAAAATATTTACAAACGTATGTATCTACACATACTAATATTTTTTAAATAAGTCGGATCCAGATAAATATTAATTTATTGTAGAGTTACAAAATCTACATTTAATTTACTCATGCTCGATTCCAAAATTAAATTACTTGCTCATTTCGTGAAATTATCAAAATTTTATAAGCGGCCTTACTATATACATAAAATGTGAGGAAATGACTGTATGCTTACATTATAAGTGGTACTTGAATATAATTTTATATAACGAGACTATTTTCCACATCGTCCATCTTGAGCTTACATCGATGCCCATGTGTAGATATACTTTAAATATTGCTTAAAGACGCATACATATATTCGTATTTGTGATGAAAACTGTAACGAACACAAGTTAAATATTTTTTACCGGTTTTAGCCATTGTTTTACACGAAAACCGCGAATTCGGTAGAAAGTACATGTTTACATAATACATATTATATACCATAAAAAGTGTATAAGTGAAGTGTTCCGAATGTAAGTAGTTTTCATCTTATTAAACAACCTAAGAACAATTGTCCCTTTTCCTTTACACTTCACACTCTGATTGCACCATCGCTTTCCACCGGTAAGCATTTTTTATTTAATGTGAACTTGTTCCACAAAATTCTTCACATCCATATTGGAAGAAGTCTTTAGAAAACTAAGATCTGGCTGGGAGAACTAGGGCATTCTTGGTCTGTGCTTACAAATCTTGAGTTCTTGAATGACATCGTCCTGTTTTGGAATTTTGGAGCACAGTTGAGTAGTAATTGCGCAGCAGAACATGTTTCAGAATCTTAATACAGTGAATGTTGACGTCAGATTTTTCGTGAACATATCCACGACAAATCGATGATCTACAGCGTAAAGTGGAGAGTGTGAACTTTTACGTGTAACGATATGTAGATGAAATATTTCCACGAATATTTGTATCTCGGCAGTATTCTGAAAATGAAAGATCTAATTTAAGGCAATCCACCACTATGCTTAAAACGTAGACTCGTGAATACGTGTATGTAACATCCTTTCCTAATATTTGGAGCACAGACTTGTTCATTGACAGTTCAGCAGAGGTTGAGTATACGTATTTTTACACAAAAATATATTATCTAAATATTTTCACATTTAAAATTTATTAAGTTAGACGTTAATTTTTATGATGCTTTAGTAATTCTCTAAAATATTTGGCTAATATACTGTTCGTAATAATAATGTTCTCCCGACTGACTTCGGCCACGATGGCCAATCTCATTGAGATTATCCATCTGCGCAGGATATATTATAGAGCACACGTGTGCGCGCAGACACAAGTGCACTCTCTATTCCTGTCACTCTCATACTCCGGTGGGACAACTACTCGAGATGACCAGTGAGAGTTAAGGCGCAGGACCGTCCAATTTCCGAACTCCGGGCTGTTACTGACGTTTACTAAGTAGAAACTTTAGTTATAAACTTGGCCCGACCCGGGACTCAGACCTAGGACCTCCGGATATGCTGCCTTACATGCTAGCCACTACACTACCGAGGCAGTTTGGTGTTCGTAATAGTACTAAATAAAAGATACTCAATCAACAATAGATTAAATATTAATTAATTATAGACCTCGTTGGTTGAAAATGGTGAAAAGCTTTGTATCTCTTAGTTTCAAGCCATAATACTCTAGATTTTATTATTTCATACAGTTGCTCGAGCTATTTCTAAGAACATGATGTTACATCTACATTAATATGTCAACCAAAAAACGACTGCTGGACATAGGCATACCTTAAAGATTTCCACTACTGCCGGTCTAATGCCATTCGAATCCAATGGGTTCTAATGACTTTAACCAAGTAGTCGGTCAATCTTGTGTGAGGTCTGCCCACGCTGCATCTTCCGGCACGCGAACGCCACTGGAGAACTCTTCGTCCCTCACGACCATTCAGCGACCATCAGATTTTATATTCATATATAATTTTAATACATTTGATTTTTCTCTGCTAAGATAAGCTGATTAATACGTTGGTCAGGTATATTATATATATTTTGGGTTTTAGTAAAAAGAATTATTGATACGCTTACTAGCAATTCGGTGAAGTTCTGGTCGCTCCGGTCATGTCGAATTGTTGGATCAGAACTAGCTTAAAATTCTTAATAATCAAATAGTGTTCTGATTAATGTATGTATATGTTTTCAGTGTAAAGGTCCTGACTGCGAAGCTGGGGTAATTATTCCATTCTTTTAACGTTCTTATGCTAGTTTTTATTTATATTATAATATATTATACGTAAATGTATATGGAATTCGTAAAATATGTCACACTTTTGTTATAATTGAGGAGATTTGTTTGTGTGTGTGTGTGTGTGTGTGTGTGTGTGTGTGTGTGTGTGTTTGTTATATTATTTGGATGAGTACGCAAAAAGACTGAAAGATCTGGAGCAACAAATAGGATATTAATACTGTAAAAAATTAAATTATACAATATGAAAAATATATAAATAAATACTCTCTACTTTCGGGTGCGTCTGTAGAAACTCATTAAATATATATAGTTATTGTAAGTCGCTGTCGCTGAGAAAATCTCCAACGAAAATCTTTGGGAGCGCTGCAATGAGATATCGGTCGACTAGTAGATCAAATGCTAGAAATGGAATTGGATTGGCCACACGCTCCGAAGGGACCCTGATCACATACCGAGGCAATCTCTAAACTGGAATATAAAGAAAGCGTAAGTGTTGCCGCTCTAAGCAAACCTGGCGCTGCTCAATCATTCTAGAAACGAAGGCAATAAAGTCGACCTGGAACAAAATGAAACGCGAAGCTCTAGACCGACCGGGAGCCCATCTAGGGGCGATAGGACCTTAATGAGGATGGCTGTGGGGTCTATTTTTATACAATACCATACAATATGTAAAAAACATTGTTTTTAAATAATATTTCATGTACAGATTTCGTTTCGTCGTAAAGACGCACCCAAGCGAGCGAGAGTAAGCCTATAGTATTTGTCCATTTTACATCACTCTTTTAGTTCCGCATTTAAAAGTATTGACAATATTTACAGATTTTTATTAAAATGACTAATAAATAAAAGGATTAACATACTGAATATAATACGTTAATCATAAAATTATTAAGGCTTAAAGTCATGTATTTTTTTGCAGTGCGCCGGACAAGACTGCAGAGCGACGGTACTGTAACCATACGAAAGAAATATTATATAATTTTAAAATGCATTATAGTTAGTATTTTATCGATTATCTTTTATTTCAGTGTGATGGAGATGGGTGTACAGCCACAGTATGTTTTTTTAAGTATTATCAAATTTAATAAATAATGAAGAGATTACGAAATGCCTAAATTATAACAATTTGCTCATTTCTTCAATAATAATCATTGTTACTCAGTTTTTTATAAAACAGTGCACGTCGATATTAAGATGTGAAAGTGTATGATTATCTCTAGTTATTTCATTTCTATGGTTTCCTTAGCGCCTTTTTAAAATTTATATGTCATAATATTATATGTATATTATACCTTAAAAATATATAAAATAAAAGTATGCGTTGTATTTTAGTGTAATGGCGAAGACTGCCCCAATAAAAAACCAAGTGTACCTGAGCCTCCAAGTGTATCTGAGCTTCCAAGTCTGCCTGAGGCTCCAAAGAAACCTCAAGAACTGAATAAAAACATAAAAACTGACACTAGCCAACCCCCGAAAACGAATGCTCCACCAACAAATAAAAAGTCTAAGGAAGGCCCAGAGGCAGGAGAAAAATAATACAGTGTTACCTGTGATGATTTCGCGTGAGGTGTTGCGTAAACTAGATTTTCAATTTAACAATTTGTTGTTTAAATATAAAATACGTTGCATGAATACGTTTTTTATTGAATTAACCAGCGGTCCTCGTGGCTTCGCATGACTGTGTTTTGATTTGATACTTGAAAACATGAACGAATTAGCCACCGAAAAATATTATCTGTTTCTTCATTTTTCGTCTCTTAGTTGGGTACATAATATGCGTAAAAGATTGTCAAGAATTTTAGTTGCGTTCTTTTTAGTATGAAAATTTTCTTTTTTTTTCTTTTTCAGCATGCATTTTTCCCAAGTTATCCCTAGCAGAAATTTCGAACTAGATGTAACTTCCTACTGTAGAACTTTGAATTTTTTTTTAAATATTTCCTTTTATTTAAAAACATTTTTTTATAATTAAACATTTAGACTTCAGTTCTTGTTGTCTTGCATATTTTAACGAACTAATTAACTAATTATAAATAGTTAGTTAAGAGTGTGTTTCAATTGCTTTACTAAAGTCCTAAGGGATAACGCAGAACTGACAGCTTTGAGTATTTTTTGATCCAAGCCGTGTAATATCACCAACAATGTACTTATTATCTGTAGCCATATCAGCTAACTACTAGTAATTACTCCATCAAAACTAGAAGTTCGGAATCTTTATCAAACGACGTATTGATATTTCTTGTACTTACTCCAAAAACACGTAAAGCCAACGGTTTTACAAAAGCAAATAACCAGTTGAACCGAATAAAGCGTTATGCTTCTTGAAACTGAAATAAAGTTATTAATATTTATTTATTTAATATTTTCAGTGTGAAGGTTCTGCGTGCGAAGCTCAGGTATCTATCAGATTTATTAAGACCCATTCTTTCACTAACCGACTTCCAAAATATCTGATTAGGTATCTGTTCTAAATGAAAACCTAAGATATTATAGTAATGAGCATTTAATTGGACATTGTAAAAAAGTTACTTTACGTATTTTTTAAGTCGCTGATACAATTCCTATTTTGAGTAGTAAATTGACACAAATATTTTTTAACAGTTTTCTAAAATTAACAGTAATTTATTTGATATTAGATTTTATATTATTTTACCTTGAATCTCTTTATGATTGAATGTCACTTTGAATGTAAAATTATTAGAACAAAGTTGAATTTAAAAATCATGTCAAATTTTACGTTCGTTGTTTTTTTGCAGTGCATTGGGGAAAACTGCAGAGCGAAGGTATAACATTAGTTATTAATCAAATGCAAATATTTAAACAGACTTTCTTTTTAATTTTAAGTAATGTTAATTTTATTATTATCTTTTATTACAGTGTTTTGGCTCAGGCTGCACAACTTTAGTATGTTATTTTTTTTTAATTATTGTAAATGTTAAAAGATTTCGAGAGGACAAATCAATAATTACTCACTTCCTTTCTCTTCTATTTGAAAAATATTCCAATATTTCGCCTTTTTTAGTCATTTTAAAGAAAACTGTAAAAGTAAATACATATTACTTTGTTATACGTTTTAAATAAATAAAATTAAATTTTTGTTGTATTTTAGTGTAATGACGAGGAATGCACTGATCAGTCTCCAACAACGAATGATACATCAAAACCCGATGTTAAGCCAAATCAGCCCCCGAAACCTAATACTACAGAAAAACCTGATGTAAACCCTAATCAACCTTTAAAACCGGATGAAAAGCCTAATAAACCTTCAGAAACTAATTCAACGTCAAAACCTGATGTAAAACCAAATCAACCTTCAAAACCGGACGAAAAGCCTAATCAACCTTCAGAAACTAATTCAACATCAAAACCTGATGTAAAACCAAATCAACCTTCAAAACCGGATGAAAAGCCTAATCGACCTTCAGAAACTAATTCAACATCAAAACCCGATGTAAAACCTAACCAACCTTCAAAACCAGATGAAAAGCCTAATCAACCTTTAGAAACTAATTTAACATCAAAACCTGATGTAAAACAAAATCAACCTTCAAAACCTGATGAAAAGCCTAATCAACCTTCGGAAACTAATTCAACATCTAAATCTGATGTGAAACCAAATCAACCTTCAAAACCTGATGAAAAGCCTATTCAACCTTCAAAAACTAATTCAATATCAAAACCTGATGAAAAGCCTATTCAACCTTCAAAAACTAATTCAACATCAAAACCTGATGTAAAACCTAATCAACCTTCAAAACCTGATGAAAAGCCTAATCAACCTTCAAAAATTAATTCAGCATCAAATTCTGATGTAACGCCTAATGAACCTTTAAAACCTGATGTAAAACCTAATCAACCTTCAAAACCTGAAGAAAAGCCTAATCAACCTTCAAAAATTAATTCAATATCAGCACCTGATGTAAGGCCCAGTCAATCTTCAAAGCCTGATGAAAAACCTAATCAACCTTCAAAAACTAATACAACATCAAACTCTGATGTAAAGCCTAATGAACCTTTAAAACCTGATGTAAAACCTAATCAACTTTCAAAACCTGGAGAAAAGCCTAACGAATCTTTAAAATCTGATGAAAGCCCTAATCAACCTTCAAAACCTAGTAGTGCACCGAAACCTAATGGAAACCCAAATCAATGTCGTTCGAATGAAAATTTGTTAAAAAGATTGCTTGAAATATTAACGGAGGTTAATGAAAAGTTGAAGAAAATAATGGAAGAATATAAAATCTGATAATTTAAAGATTAATTGAAAGTTGTAGAAGAATAATAATATAATCTGCATAAATATGTATTTTATTGCCCTTTTCAGGAAACATGTATTGTTCTACTTTTTATTAATATGTAATGAGACCTCATGACTTAATTAAAGGCTTTGCTAGTCTTAAAGTATAGACGCTTCGCTCACTCGGTTAATAAAATTATTAATAACTAGCGACTACGTTACGTTTTAACGATTAGTATAGCTTTCTCAGAGATGACAGTTTTCCTTTCAGTAAAAAGTATCCTAAATGTTGACCCGGATAAGTAGCGATCATCATACCAAATTTTATTAAAATTTGTCTAGTGGTTTTCTCGTGATGCGTTGCTTGACAGACGGACAGACAAAAATTCTAAAAACTATAGATTCGGCCTCTGTATTGATAATAATGACTATTCAATAAGATTTTCCAAAAAATGTTTAATGTACTCAGTAACGCCCTCCTTTGGAGAAATCTTCCCCATTAATAAAGTAAGACTATGGCCTGGAATAATACACAGGCAAATGTTAGGCAGCTAGATAAAAACCTATTTTCTATTCCTTTCTCTATTTCCTATGTATCTAAATACATACACACAAAGCTATTCTGGAGGTCGGGAGTAGCAATGGAAAATCGTATTACATTATCCATACTAATAGCACATAGGCTATTTTTTATATTGGAAAAATGTACGGTTCCCGTGGGATAGATCTGTTTTTGTCTAGGGACGAACCCGTAGCGAAGATGGGTTACTAGTAATATATAAAGGTAAATTTACGAAATTTATTCTAAGACTTAAGTGAATCTTTAGAAAAACAAATAGCTTGATGAACTCAAACCAATTACAATTTACACAAACCTATTTAGTAACCTACGTACGTACATACATAGAAAATGTTATAAATATCTGCTAGACTGTTGATAGATTTCTAATGATTGTATTTTAGAACCACAGTAGTTTGTAATCGATCGATTCAACATTAGCATAAAATGTTTCCAATACCCAACGATACTATAGTTACAGCATTTGGAATATAATTTACAGCTTTTGAACGTTAACAACAGACAACAAACAACAACAAATATCTCGAAAATTTTGAGGTTATTGTAAAAAGTGTTATTTATAAAAGATGTAGATTATTACTAGACCTACAACTTTTGTATAAAATATTTTTCAATAGAACGTCACAGTAAGTCGGAAATTGAAAAAAACTATTTTTCAGCGCTTTGCGTCCCCCCATTTCTCGGGGGTAGCTGGACAGAGAGGCCATTTTACGAATTTCTATTCCTTGTATACCTCCCAACATTTTAAAATCATAAAACTTCATGTTTTTAATATTTTATTTCCAAACTGGATTCCGATTGGACTATACTCGTAGATGCCTTTGCATTTATAATATTACAGACGCTATCAAACTTTGACATTCTTCGACTTAATTTACAAATATCATCGTACCGGTTATTTTCGCAAAAAACTTATAAATTTTGGCCTAATACCTTTCTAGATAATTCCTGTCTCTATTGGTGAAATCAATATGAAAATCTAGTTTCTGAAAACTATAGTTTCTGAGACTAGGTGGAAATATACACAATGTCAGCGTGACTGAAGAAAAATTGTAATAATTAAATGGAGAATAAAATATTTTGAATTTGAATTATATAGATGATTCGTTTATCTCTACTCCAGATTATAATGACTTTATGTTATTTTTGTTATGATGATTGATTGTACATTTTATTTATTTTAATGTCTGGTTAGCACTTTTTTATTTAACTGTCTCAGTGGTCTAGTTGCTAGCTTTATGGCTGTAGATTAGAAGTCCTGGATTCGAGCCCTGGGTCGAGCCAAGTTTCATTACTGAGTTTTTCTGTCAAGAAATTTTCAGTAGTAGCCTGGAGTTGGGAACATATGACAGGAAAAGGAATAGAGAGTGCACTTTTGTTTAAGCGCACACGTGTGCACTATACATAATATCTCCTGCGCAGATGTCTCAGTGAGATTGGCCGTCGTGGCTAAAATCGGTCAGGAGGACATCATAACTATTTGTATTAGTACTATGTCTAATACCGAATTGTTGTTTTTTCAAGGGCAAAACCATGAAGCTTTATTAAAATAAAGCAGATTTGAAGTAAACATACAAATTATTCACATTTCACGCTTTTTATTTGTAAAATCAAAAATAAATTTGATTAGTGATACCTAGTTCAATTGAATTCTATTTTCTATAAAATATAAATTAAAACATTTAAATTATTCAGTTACATTCAGACAAGATGTTTGCTTATATCACCTCCAGCATTTTTTTGCTTCATATTTTCTTTTTCCAGTTTAATACGGGGGTAAGTTATTTTAAGACTGCACAAAAGTGCAGTGCAGAGTTTTTTTTTAAAAAATACTTAGATTTTCGCGAATATTTGAAACTTTAAATAATTTCTTATTATATCTAAAAAAGGTTTTTTATACAATCAATTTAACTCATTTCAATTCTTTAGGCGTGCCATTTGGACACAGTTTACATCGCCAATGTCGTGTAGATTGCATATAACTATTATAACCAATTTCAAACTTTTACAATTTATTATATTTACTTATATTAATTTTATTTTATTTACAGGGTAGTCCGCATGCTGCATGTGAGTAAGATTCGTATAAATAGGTTTCCAGACGTTATGGTTTTATCATGCTTTCTACTTTGTAATAATCAATGCATGGCAGATATACTCGTAAAAAAATGTTTAAAAAGCTTTCCTTAAAGTTAAAAACAATAAACAACATTTTTAAAGATATCAATTATATTTTCAGATGACAACCCTGAAACACGAAGACAATCAACCTGTCCTGAAACAGTAAGTAATATACCTACTGCGCGCGTGCTCGTGTGCGTGCGTGTGTGCATTTTTGTTATTTTATGTTTTTTTTTATAATACACATTTGTATAAACTTTTTAGTATTTACATTAAAATTGATCAAAAACAGTTTTTTATAATACTTTCTTAGATTTACGCGAATATTTGACATTTTGCATAATGACAGTAATTCTGATTAATACATTTTTTGTCTATATTTTTTGTCTTATAAAGGTAGCAATAGTGTTGTTCAATATTTTAACTTTAAATAATAGCAATCTAAATTAATTTTTTAACTTTTAATTTATATATAAAACAATAATGTCGCTTAGATAAATAATTAAAATTTTTAATTTTTAATATTCTTTATGGTTATACATAATATAATAATAGCAACACTAAATAATATTAGTAATTAATAAAGATTTTTTAAAACTATAATATTTATAATAATAACAGCAAAAATTAAATAAATAATGTTGCTATATTTAATTATAATATTTATTGAAAAAAATTAAAATGCTTAGAAATAAAAATCAACAAATATTGTAAGGTTATCTATTGCCATTTTTGAATTTTTGAAATCATTTTTGTAAAATAGTGGGTAGGCACTGTCTGTAACACGTATGTATTTGAGACGTCTATAACCTTAGTCTCTCCAGTGACCATGGTTGCTGTAAAGCATTCGAAACCTCGGGAACTAAAAATCAAAATAAATCCGCGAAATAATTCGAAAAGATAGTTTTGTTTAAACAGTTTTTTATTTTTGCCTTAGATATACGAATTTTTAATACACGTTTCATTTAACTTGTTTTCAGTGTGCTGAGGCTTACTGTAAAAACGAAGTGAGTACCACATATTATCATAATCCATGTTAAATTTATAATATTTGTATCGAGAATATAATATGATAGAATATTATTTTCTAAAAAAAATTTTTTTCTATTTTAGTGCGCAGGCGATAAAAGCAAATCTAACGTAAGTAGTTTAAAATTAAATGGTACTTATATGGGTCATAATACCTTTAATAGCTATACGTTATTGTTAAGCAATAATTGTTTTAATAAAAAGAATATTAAAAAGCGAGTTCTAAAATGAAATGAATAGCGAGTCTTAATCGCACACTGAGTATTCTGTCACTCACTCACTCTGTCAGTTTTAGTGTAAAAAATATGTCATTAAAATCAAATAAAAATGTAACGTAATTTTAATGTGATTATGATATTTTTTCTAGTGCCATGCCGCAAATTGTCTTGCATCGGTATGTATAATATTAATTTTAAATTATAATAATAGTGTATCCAAGTCTAATTTAATTTATAAAAATCATAATATTACATAAATACTAGCAGACCTGGCCACGAGGTGCTGTGGCACACATATGAAAATCGTTAATTTTGTAATAGAAGAAAGGAAATAATCGGGATAAAAACTATGCCATCTTTTAAGTTGGAACAAATTACACATTTTGAAAAAAAAAAACATTGAGATTGGATAATTAGTGTTGGAGTTCATCGCGGACAAACATCGTGACATGGGAATTTTATATATTAAGATTACATACATAGGTATAGAAAAATAGGTAAGTACTTTAAACACGAGAAATAATCTCCTTTTTTTCCTTGATTGGTCAAACACGACGAAACATTCTGTATTTCTTACCAAAATTATAGGATATAGCAATTTTTGTGGCCTTTACTTGAAAAATGATTTGTTTCCAATATAAATTTAACCCCCTATTTCACCCTCTTGTTGTTTCATTTGTGCTACAAAAAGTAGCCTTTGTCCTTTTCCATAATCCCATCCATCTCTAAACCAAAATTCATCAAAGTTGGTTAAGCGGTTTAGATGTGAAAACGTAACAAACAGACAGAAAGAGTTACTTTCGCATTTATAATATTAAATATATATATATATATATAGAGTATATAATATATACAGTGCCACCTTTTGGCATATTTTAATACTTACAGTAGCCTATGTGTTAGTCCAGATCAGCATTTCTAATAAATGGCATACAAATCTGTCACATGTTAAAATGTCTTTAGATAAGCCATTGTAGAATGTTTCTAACAATAATATCGATATAGTATTATCGAAAGAAAAGTACGTGAAAAATAAAAAAGATATTATTGACAATTTTATATAATGGTATATAATATCTTATTTATTTTTTTAACATAAAAGTTGAAATAGAATAGATGCTTCAATATATGATTTATGAAAAATGTTCTCTCGGTAAACTGTCTGTGATATATGAAACCGGGTATTCCCAATTAAAATGTTCTAGTCAACCGTCCTTACATCCTCTGATGAACACTGTCCTTGATCGAAATATTTATGTCAAAGAACAATATTATAAAAAGGCTTCTGTATTCAAAAAATATAATAATATACAATATATAAACAAAATTTACACCTATATACTAGCGACTTGTCAATATACTGGGGATCGTCCTTAGTTACGTTTTAACGTTTTGTGTAGATTTCTCAGAGATGAGATATTTTCCTGCAGTAAAAAGTATCCTATATGTTGACCCGGATGACCAGCATACCAAATTTCCTTAAAATTACTCCAGTGGTTTGTTCCTTAAAATTCCTTCAGTGGTTGTCACAGACAGATAGATAGGCAGGCAGACAAAAATTCTAAAAATTATACATAGATTAGGCGTCTGCATCGATAATAATGTCTATTTCAATAAGATTTTTCAAAAAATATATAATGAACAGATTCGGCTTTGTTACAATTCTGTTATATATATAGGCTACATATTATTTTATGTAATATGCAGTCAGCTTTTTTAAATTATATTTTAATCTTTTCTTTCATATATTCAGTGCAATGGAGAAAAATGTGAATCAAGGGTAAGTTATGCAAATAAGCTTTTAAAAGATACAACAACACAAAAAAGATTTTATGTGTACTAACATGTATTCCCTTTTTAACGTTCCACTGCTGCGCACGGGCTTTCTCTCAATGCGAGGGAGATCAGACCATAGTCCACGACGCTGGCCAAGTGCGGGTTGGTAGACTTCACATGTCTTATAAACACTTGTTACGTTTTCTTAAGCATGCAGGTTTCCTCACGACGTTTTCCTTCACCGTAAGACAAGTAGTAAGCATGATGAAAATGATTCTCACATAAAAATATGTATTAGAGGTGCGAGAACTGAGATTTGAACCCGCTTCACTTGGTTTTATCATTGGGCAACCATCGAGGAGTTGTAGTTACATATACAACGTTACTATAATGTAACATATTTTAAGACGATTCGATTTAATAACTTAAAATTTGATATAATTATGATTCCTCGTTAATCGGAAGGAATGGATCATGAAGGAGGTGTTCCTGACTGTCATATTATATACTTTAATATGACAGTCGGGAGACTGCTTTGGAATTTTTTACTAATCTTGCATTTAGCAAGAATTTCGTTACGGTCAAACGTTATATGGTATTTTATACTGTGTTATTATTACCTATTGAGATAGCAACAATTTTTAAAAAAATATTTTTTTTAAATTTTATACTAAATCAATTTGGTTTACTTTTTAATTTCAGTGCCAAGGATCACTTTGTAAGGCGCAGGTTAGTTTTCCTATTTTGAAATCCTCTCCTATTCTTTATGAAATATATGCCATGCATGCATAATATATTTAATCAAAATGCCTTTGTTTAAGATAAAGAGTAAATGATTGATGATGATAATGATTTCAGTATTACCATTAAACAAATATTTGCAATTTCAATTAGATACCATTTAAAGACCTACCAGAGATTGAGTTATTTCAATTTTACAGATTATTTTGAATTGTATAATAATATGAAATGTAATTTTTAAAGTAATAATCGATTAGACAGAAATTTTAAAATAGAACGTGATCAACATATTGATTTATGTCCAAAATTGGTATTCTACATAAATGCTTATAATACCTTTCCCGGTTAAAGTGGAAAAGAAACACTAGCAGACACTTTATGGTTTTACGTCTATTACCTTAATAGCGACTCACCCTCGCTTCGCTCGCGTTCGTCCCTAGGTACATTTTATCGGTCAGTATGGAAAAGATAGACTATCCTATAATATATTCTTGAGATCAGCAAGTTCACACAAACAAACTCTGCCTCTTTATAAAATTAGTATAGATGTTCATCAACACTCATATTGTGTACAAAAACTATTATCGACATCTATTATATTTTTAAGTTATATTCTGAAGTTAATGATTTTAAGAAAAATCGAAGTTTGATTCTAATTTTTTAGTACTCTCTCGTTCCGTTTTCGCAAAAACTTGAAAACACAACAAAAATTATTCAAATATTAATAAGCACTATAAAATTTCATTTTTAGTAATGCGGTATGTATAAAACTAAAAATTTACTCGATTTTTTTTTCCAGGCTCAAGGAAACAGTAGCTATGCTCAGGTAAAATGCATTCTAAAAATATTTACACTGATTTTTTTTTAATAAGTCGAATTTAGATAAATAGTAATTAATTTTAGAGTCATGAAATCTACATCAATAAAATCAAATTAATTGCTTATTTCGTGAAATTACCAAAATTTTATAAGCGGCCGACAATATAAAATGTGAGGAAATGATTTACATTATAACTGGTACTTGAATTAAATATTATATAAGGAGACTATTCATTTCCCGCATCGTCCATCTTGTGCTTACATCGACGCCCATGTGTAGATATACTTCCTATATTGCTTTAGCACGCATATATTCGTATCTTTTATTAAAACTGTAACGTATGTTAAATATTTGAATAACAAAAGTTAAATATTTTTACAGTCGGTTTTATCCATTGTTTTTACACGAAAATCGCGAATTCGGTAGCAAGTATATGTATAACATATGTACATATATAACATAAAAAGTGTATAAGTGAAGTGTTCCAAGTGTAAGCAGTTTTCTTATTACGAACAATTTTTCCTTTTCGTTTGCACTTCACACTCTGATCACACCATCGCTTTCCACTGGTAAGCATTTTTTTAAATTTAATTTTGATATTACTTTAATGAAAACTAATAATAATATAATAAAACCTTAATTTAGACAATATACAATACAGAACGCAATGACCACATAGTACCGGAGAGAGAGTGTACATATATATGACGTGTTAACTATATATTATGAACATCATCTTTAGTGGTTACTAATCTTATGGGCGTTATCAGGGCTCAAATAATAAAGTATTCAATGATCAATACACAATTTAATCAGGGAAATTATTAAGGCTTAAAGATACATATATTTTTGCAGTGGTCCGTAAAAGATTGCTTAGCGATGGTATTGTAACTATACGAAAGTAATATTATATAATGTTAGATGCATCATAGTTAGTATTTAATCGATTATCTTTTATTTTAGATTAAGATTACGAATTGCCAAAATTAAAACAATTTGATTATTTGTTCAATAATAATTATATATCATTGTTACTCGATATTAAGATGTGAAAGTGTATGAATTTATCTATTGTTATTGTGTTTGCATTGTATTTTAATGTAATGGTGAAGAATGCCCCAATAAAAATAAGTGTACCCAAGCCTCCAAAGAAACCTCAAGAACCGAATAAAAACATAAAAACTGACAATAGTCAACCCCCAAAAATGAATGCTCAACCATCAAATAAAAAGCCTAAGGAAGGTCCAAAGGCAGGAAAAAATAATACAGTACTCGCCGTGACGACTTCGCGTGAGGGTTTGCGTAAACAAGATTTTAAATTTAACAATTTGTGTGTGAATTATTTAAATATAAAATACGTTGCATGAATACGTTTTTCATTGTTCAAAAGCACTTTTAATAAGTCTAAATGAATTAAGTTTATTTCATTTCATTGAATTAACCAGCGGCCTTCGTGGCTACGTCCGGCTGTGTTTTGATTTAGTACTCGAAAAATATTGTTTGTTACATCCTTTCCACCTCTTTATGGATGTAATTTTCTTAGTTGAGTACATCGCATATGTACCCAATAAAGACTTAAATATTGACAAGAATTTTAGTCGCGTTCTTTGCAGCATAGAAACTTTCTTTATTTTTTCTTTTTACGTTGGGAAATGCATTTACGCATACCACCAGCATGCATATTTCCCAAGTTATTCCTAGCAGAAATTTTGAACTAGATGTAACTTCCTACTGTGTAGAACTCTGACGAATTTTTAAAATATTTTTTTTTAATTTTAAATATTTATCTTTATTTATATGTATTCTTAGAGCCTATTTAATATAATATATAATATTTAGAATTTCGATTGAATTAGTATTATTTTATAATAAAAATTTAGAATTGAATTCTTGTTCTTTCGCATATTTTAATGAACTAATTAACTAATAACAAATAGTAAGTTAAAAGTAACGTAAATAATATTAAAAACAGTACAGGAACAGGTTTATGACTGAGATGATGTATCTTCTTATTCATATTTTTCCATAAATTTTTTGTTGAGATTTGTCTCCCTGAGTTAATTATGCCTTACAAATATGAGAGAAAAATAAAGTTTCAATTGCTTTACTAAAATTCTAATATAGCCATATTCTGATATAGCCATATCAGCTAACTATTAGTACTTACTCCAAAAACACGTAAAGCCAACGGTAGTCTCATTTTAAATACATACATATTATAAATATAAACACCCATGACTGGGGTACGAACATTCGTGTTCATCACACAAATGAATGCCCCAGCGAGATTCGAACCCGCGACCGCTAGCACAGCAAGTAGGGTCACTACAAACTGAGCCAAACGTATCGTCAAATTTATAAAGATTTATTATTACAATTTCCTATGCTATATTCTGTAGAAATAATAAGTGCTTTTATACCGATAGAGTAAGTTAGATATGTGTAGTTTTAAACTATATATTATCATCTGTCCGAATTATGCACTGAAAAACATTAAAAACGTATATTACTTAGGTATCTATACAGATACAAACGTGTCAATTCAAACAGTGGTGAGCATTAGCCCTGATATCTTAATGATCGTGAAAATACTTTTTCAAAAGAGCGTCAGTTGAGTTTTTTACCGGCTTTTTTGGAACAGACCTGTACTTCCAAAACCATGGTAACTTCCACTCATCACTAGCAAAAAAACTCACGACCGATATTTTTAGTAATTTGGAAATATTGTTAAAGATTGTCTCTATATTTTCAGTGCAAAGGACCTGGATGCTTCGCGATGGTATTGATTTGCAATAATTAATTATACTAATATTAAAATAGGCAGTGGTACCCCGTGGTGACGCGTTCGCTTGGATAACCGAGTGAAGCGGGTTCAAATCCCGGGTCTCGCACCTCTGATATTTTGATGTGCGAATCATTTTCAACATGATTACCACTTGCCTTACGGTAAAGGAAAACATCGTGAGGAAACCTGCATCTCTGAGAGATTCTAGCAAGTTTTCGAAAGACATGTGAAGTCCGCCAACCCGCACTTGGCCAGCGTGGTGGACTATGGCCTGATCCCCCTCATATAGAAGGGAGGCCCGTGCTCAGCAGTGGGACGTTAAGAAGGGCTGAATACATACTAATATTAATGATATAAGTACTTATGTTTCCTCATCTTCGCATGACTAGAGAAGACTTCTCAAACATCTTTCTATAGTGCGTAACATAACTGAGGGATAAAAGCTGACAGGGGAGTTGAAGGCCTCATATATATATATATATATATATATATATATATATATATATATATATATATATATATATATATTATATCATATATATATATATATATATAAAGATATTTGGATTTTAAAAAGTAAGTAGTGTAAAAAAGATTCTAGACTAAACATCGCAATATGATAGCGGTTTTATTTCTATAGTAGTCCAATAGTAGGGAATTCTTACTATTATAATAGTTTTTGTCAGAAACTTCTAAAGGCCAAATTAAAAATTAAACACCATTTTGTTTTAAATACTTAGTGAACAACCAGAAAGGAAGAAAATACTGATATTGTACTAGTGTATAGTGTAGTAAATGTAGTTCATACATCATAAATAAATAAATAAAACTTGAGATTTTTATATCGTTTTCAGTGTGTTGGTGAAGGTTGTAGTGCGAAGGTATGAAGCTATAATACATTGTTAATGATTATTTCTTTTTAACCAAAAAAGGTACATTAATTTCTATATACCTACAAAAAATGTTGTGTGGAACTTTTTCTTGATATTAATTTATATTCAATTTTTTGAAGTGAAACTTCTTTAGAATCGTTGTGATTTGAAACTCAATGAAATGGAAATACAACACTAAAAAGAGATAAGCACGTGAATATAAGGAAAAATAGGATAAAGCCGACGAGAGAATGAGATACAAGACATTGCCATGTTGCCATGGTAACCGTTGTTATTTGAGATAGAATACGTTACACAAGAATTGAAAAATAATAAAATTAAGTACTGAATAATGTGTAATATATATTTATGTCAAATAAAATGTAAAATAACTTTAACCTTGGTAAAAATATTATAAAAAATATAAACCTTATAGTTTTCCTACTCCTGATACTCTACGAGTATATTCATCTCATTCTCTCGTAAGTTACTTTTCTGAAGATTCACTTCTACCATGTGTGAAATGCATACACACGCACTTTTTTTTCTTAAGAGTCTTCCATTCAAAAAA